CCAAACTACACCTTTCTGGCCCATCCACTACACGTTCTTTGTCGATCACACTGCGGAAAGAGCACGCGCACATGGCAGCTTCTCACGTTAACAGACGTCATAGCCTGATCCCAACTGCCCCAACGAACATTGTTTAAATTATATTGTGCGTGCAAGGCTGTAGGGGTTCAACGAGCACTGTGCGACACCACACAACACCATTGTTCGCGACAAGCGACTTTATTACTTCTGCGCCGTGAGCGTTTCTTCCTAACCACACTGAAAAAGCATTCGCATTCAAACACATCCCACACCTACAAACCTACAAAGTAAGTTTTTACACTCAGAATTATTCCATTTACACAAGACTCACGCTTACATGATTCAGATCATCATCATGGCTCTCAACTTCCTCTCGCGTAGGACCATGAAGTCCGAGAAAGCTACCGCCGGCACCACCTTCTGGGCAAACTTCACCATCACCGCCGCTCTGCGCATTTTCCTGCGCTTCTTCCAGTTCGTGCTCGGCATCACCGTCATCGCGCTGTACGCCATAGATCTCGACAAGGCGCGCCGCAGCCACAAGTACGTCGACTCCAAGTGGGTCTGGAGCGTCGTGTGCGGCACGCTCGGCGCGCTCACCGCGCTACTCTTCATGCTGCCGCTCGTCAAGGCGTGGTTCTTCTTCTACGTGGACGCGCTGGTCTGGCTGTGCTATCTCGTCGCCTTTGGCATTTTCGGGCGCATGTACATCCCCGAGAAGGCTGAGGGCAACAAGGGCATTATGCGCATGAAGAACGCCGTTTGGGTGCTCTGCGCGAATATGCTGCTGTGGTTTATTACCGCGGCGTATGGCGGCTTCGTGTTTTGGAAGCATCGCAAGGCAAGCACGGTTCATACGGGCCGGGGCTCGCAGCATGTCTAAACCTCTTCGTTAGAACGGGCCACAGATGCGTTGTGCTAATAGTGTTTTCTTGGTGTAGAAGATTTCGTTCGAGCTCGATGTTGAAGTCGGGCGGTTCAAGATTGGCGCAAAGACGACGACGACGAAGATTGAAAACGTTGCAGCGCCACCGCCAGCTCCATCTCAACCTCCTCCATCGCGCCGTCTTGTTCCCGCGCCTCTCCCACCAAACTTCCGCATCCCACCGCCAGTCCCGCCACCGCGTTTGTTACCCTTTCCCAACCAGCACCAGCGTTGTTTTTCCGCACCCTTGCCGCCGCTTTCGTCTCCCGTGGTGGAGGAAGAGGCGCCCAAGGACTCTCCTAGTGTAACTGCATCATTTATGCATTGGCTTTCTTTGTTCCCTGCGTCGTCGATACCCCCTATTTTTCGCGAGTATTTGGCTTAGTTTTGTTGGTAGAGCGTATGAGAGATGAATATATTGATTTATGAGAATTTTGTGTTTTGGCCATGCGTCTTTGTCATGTCTCGTGAGAGCGAAGTAATGTGTAATAAATTAAAAATTGAGTTCACGAGTAGTACAAAGACCGTCTAGATACAACTCCCTATATGAACAATACAGAAAACTATCCTGGGGGGAAAAAATACAATGGTTCGCATTTACGCACATTTCAATCTATATAACGTTCTATCACAGTTGGAGTACGATATTGTAAAACTCTTTTTTTCTTTCCACTTGGGCAGGTTGTACTTGCTGGGTAGCTAGTTGTCCTAAATCATTATCAGCTTCTGTACTGACCTGTCAACATGCCAAGTTCGAGGCTCAGCTTTGTTCGAGCTATTCAGTCCTTCTTCTACATTTGATACAAATATTTCACACTAGCATTGATTACTCTACTGCCTTTTAACTAAACTACAACAGAACTGAGTTTTAACTTCTCTACACAATTAGGCCTTAAAGCCTAGATGTACTAGCACTATTAATACAGAGCTTTCTGCCCGGACGGCATGCTCTACGTGTACTTATCCCAGCTAGAAATCTCTAGCTAGAGCGATTGGAGGGCGATTGTCTTAGACTGCTAGCATAGATTGCCCTCCATCGCTCGTGATCCTCCTCCTAATTCTAACCTTGATGAACCTGCTTGTACCAGTGATCAAGTCCCCACTATCGTCGCGTCCAAGCACAGCATTCGGTGAATACACCAACGCTTCCCCTGTCCTCAACCCCTCAATCTTCAACATCAGATCTTCACGACCCTCCGCCGCAGTGGGTATATGACGTTTGATAGCTGACAACCACTCCGGACTAGAGAAACGATGGATCACTGTGACCGAGCAGAGGGCGATGAGGTCTGTCAAGAGTGTAGGTTCCTGGGTTGAAATGATGACGCGTGCACCGTAATGCCGCTGGAGACGGACCGTCTGGAGGAGAGTTTCGGTCAGGGCCTTTGCGCCCGGCACTTTGAGCATGTACTGCATAAGGATAAGCAAAAATGGCTTCGTGGGATATGATCACTCGGCATACCTTGTGTGCTTCATCTAACACAATCATCTTCCCGCTCGTTTTGGACTGCAGATACCGCTTGAGCCCGATCTTGAAAAGGATACACGCCGTGTTGGCATTGACAAATGGGCACGACATGTCCATGATTGTAATCTCGCCAGGCTGGAAGTGGGGCTCGACAGTACCTCCGTCCATGTCCAGGAACGATTCAAGCAGGCCCAAACGCATTTGTAGCATGCTGGTCTGCGCAGGATTGAAGTCCTTCCCCTTCAGGTGCCTCTTGAACGCTCGATAGTTGAATGGCCCTCCCGCTGTAGACATCTCGCGAAGAATTTGCGTCACTTGCGCCATGTAGAGAGGTGTTCCCTCTGATTCGCCAACGTTCATCAGAGTGAGCATTGTGTCGATATCCAGGTCCTGGGGGTTCAATTTAAACGGCGTGACCAGAACGTTGGGAAGTCGAGTGTAGAGTTTTGAGATGCGCAGAAAATTGGAGGGCGAGACCAACACTTGCACTTTCTTCACATGCGCTCCTCCAGGCAGTCTGGAATCGGTTGAAGCCAGAAATGCCGCCTCGCTGACAGTGAACCCGACGCCGTCACCGCTAAATTGAGCGAAATTGAAAACGAGGGCAGAAAGAGGCTTCTGAAGCTTCCCAAGATGTTTTGAGCGGATCAAAGAGTTCTCGAGGATGCAGGATGTTGTGTGGGACTTCCCACTTCCTTGGACTCCGCATACGAACATCGAGAATGGGACATTGGTGTTCAGGAGGAGCTTAGACTCAGCACCCCTGGCCTCCATATGCGAACCAAGCAGGCCGTATTGTGGAAGAAGACTTCCACCATGACTGGAGATGAAACTGGCATCTATCAAAGGTGCGTGTTGAAGTCTGGCGAGCGCGCCGGTAGCTTGCGTATTTCCGTCGTTATTGCTTCCGCCAGCTTTGGGCAGTAGGAAGTCCATGCCTTCAAAGTTGCTGCTTGAAAATACCGAACTTGTCTCACTAGAACTGTCTTCCGTGTCAAAATCTGCAACCCTGGCGCCGTCTGGCTCGTTGGTAAAATTGGCTCGACCCATTTTCCAGCTCAACAGGTCAACGGTCGTGTCCACAGGGGTCGGTGAATCAATTGCCGCCTCTAGCAAGTCTGATCGGTACAGGCTTGGAGTACACAAACCTGCCATTGTGTTGTGGATGGCAATGCCGCCTGTTTGGGACACTGACAGCAGTGCATGCTGATTTGGTGCTGAGTTTCCCATGTTTTCTTCCATGATTTGCTTGCTGATCTTCTCGGTATGTGCCAGACTGTATTCGTGACTTGGGTATAGGAGCCTGCTGTTATCAGTGAAGGTACAACACAACATCGATTGCCGTTTTTCGTGGAGCAGGTAAGTTCCTCCTGCAGATGTACAGTTGAGATCGAACGGTGAGACAGGTACGTTAATTGCGCAAAGGTTCGACTTACGGTTGAAGGGCATGACGTATTCTAGTCGTTGAAAGGCCGGTGTTGAGGGAGAAAAGATGTTTCCTAAGCCACGGTAATCCCCTGAAAGTGCCGTCCGGGCAAAAAGCTCTGTTGCGATAGTGCCAGTAGATCCATGCCTCGAGGCCTAATTGTGTAGAGAAGTTAAAACTCAGTTCTGTTGTAGTTTGGTTGAAAGGCGGTACAGTGACCAACGCTGGATCCCCTGCGGCCTTGGGGCTTGACTTATTTGCCATTGGTGTCTGTTGCTACGTAGAGCAGTAGGTTCATCTTAACTAGCGATCAGGGCGGAAGAACTGTCGAGCAACTTAGTACTGCGACAACGTACTACAAATGACCTCATGGCATGAGATCACAATAGAATGTTCACATTTGTGCTACATTCTTGCAGGGGTGATGGTAACACTTTGTGATCTAGAATGCAGCATTGTGAATGACAAGGCTAGCAGAAACTAGGTAATTAGCAGTCCAGATAGCCTTTACATTTTCGGGGTCCGAGATCATAGGATATGTAACAAAGAATGAAACCAAAGAGTGATATTGTAAATTACGATATAGTCGTGACTAAGGTAGCTTTTGGCAAGCACCATGATGCACCGCAGATCTTCCCAACCGGATGAATGCGGATATGATCTGGGAGTACATTCTTACACCACGGATCTAATTGTTGAGCTCTCCGACGCATACCCTTTCGTAGCATTCCTGGTGGTATGGCAGCGCAAAGAAAAGATGGGCCCTGATGTCCTGAAACAGATGATCGACACTATAGCCAGGAGCATGGGAATTTGGTAGTCGTGCATGGGCTTTGGATAATGAGGTATCAGAGGAATGAGAACATGTTAGTAGTACTCTAAGAGAAAACATAGGAAAGAGATTATGATACTTAACGATAGATTCATTTTCGGCACAGAGCGCTTTTCGCCACACATGGATAGACATTAGCTCTCCTTTCACTTCGTTTACTCACCCTCCCCTCCCCTCCTTCCCCCACTCTCTCCAATCCTTAATCACTAACTTTTAATATAACTAGCAGCCCATCTGCTCCGTCTGACCCCCACCCTCGCCTTCAAACTCGCATACAACTTGGCCTCTTGAATCTAACCTTCCCACCCACCACCCCCAATCCACTACCAGGCCCCGCGCCCACCCAACCCCCTCCCCTCCTCACGCTTCCGATGCACCGCCACGGCACTAACGACAAGGACGAACGCGCAAACTAGCAACACGAGTGTGAGGAGCGCCATGCGGATTGCGCGTTTGCGTAGGACGGTGCGTATGCGTGATTGAGGTGGGGAGGGAGCGGGTGGGTTGGCAGGGCCGAGTTCGATATCTTGGCATGGGGTAGTGGGCCATTGAGGCGTGGATGGGGAGGGGGTGTGTGTGTGTCCGGGGTTGGGGGTGGAGGGGCATGTTTGTGAAGGGCATCTTGTTTGATGTGTGGTGTGTGGGTGATGTATGTGTCAAGGCTGTGAGTATGAGTAATGGAGAGTAAGCGAGGAGAAATATGGAGGGGAAGTCGGTATTGCGGACCAGGGATATATTCTTCTATTAGAGACCGTGTGGCGCACAGAGGTTTTTTTATGGATGGAAGATAAAGGCTGGTGTGTATGTTGGTTTCCGACTGCACAGTGCTTGTGTCGGAAGTTGGAATGGGTATGGTGGAAGGATATCCTCGTCGCGAACTTCGTGGAGGATGAAATATGAAAGTGTTTAAGTATTCCTGAAGCGCACAAAGGCACCAGTTAAACCTGCTGCACCCGCCCTTGAGGCGTGAAGCTCGCCAGAATAATAATAGAAGAGCGTCCAGTACGCAATATTCCCCTTTAGAATAGTCATGCTTCATAAAAAGCGATCCAAGTCTCATTTCTTCGAGCGCGTATTCCTCGTCTGTGTGGTCGCTGGCGCTGCCTTGGCCCGACTCGCAGCTGTCGGCGCGTTGAACGACCTGGTCACCCGTCTCTTGGTTGTTCTGGAGGAACCACTGGCCTCCTCCTCATCTTCTGCTTTCCGCTTGTTCGACGCCACAGGCTTCGTCTCCTGTGCCGTCCACGTCTTGGACCTCGCTCCTCCTTCCTCTTCCTTGGTGTCGGCATCCTTCACACTACGATTCGCTTGGGACAGTGGAGGAGTTGGAGGCCGGTTGCTGTCTCGACTGGCTTCTGGCGACTCAGGCTCGGTTGCTGCAGCGTCCTTGTTCGCATTCCGCTGCTGTGCGACCCACGATAGCAGTTGCTCCTCTTTGGCTTCGTCGTCTTCCTCTCCCTCGCCTCCGAGCATGGCGTCTGCCATCTCGCCGGCAATATCGTCTCCCGCATCCTTGCCTGCCGCCATGCGCAGCGCAAATTGCAGGAGTTGCTGCGGATCCATACCGCTGAGAGGACCACCAGCCGCGGCGAGTTGATTCTGCAGCGCTGCCATCAATGCCTCCTGGCCGATCTCCATGTCTCCGTCTTCCTCCATGTCTTCGTCCTCGGCCAGTGCGTCCTCATCCAGTGGCTCTGAGGTGGCAGAAAGCGCGGCCTCAGACACTCCATCACCTAGTGGCGCTGGTGACTTGGCCGGTTGTGACGGCCGGTCCCAGGGTGATGTGTCTCCGAACCTCTCCCGCCAGTCCCCAAACAGCGCAAACGTTTCGGTGGGTTGCGTGAGCACCCGCGGTTTCTGCACTCGGTCGCGCTGTGAACGCCACACGATTGGTGAGTGCGCCTTCACAAATGGCTTGATCGGATCCGGGCTTTCACTCGTCTTGAGCTTTTTCTTGCTGCGACTGCTCTTGGTCGCGCGCTTTCGCTTCTGGCCAATCTTCGAGTCCTTGGCGTCGTGTGATTGAAAGATGCCATCTTCATAGCAGTCTGAAGCGTAGTCGAGGTCGTTGAAGTACTCGTAGCGGTCCCAGTCGTCCCGCATGTCGTCGTCGACATAGTCGCTCGGTGGGGGTGAGGGTACTTGGTGCTCGGCGAGGTCGTCGGCGACAATGTACTCCTCCTCGACATAGAACCATGCGTAGTCCTCGTATTCGCCGCCGTCGCAGCCGCCGTAGTCGCTCATGATGGCTAGATGTGGTTGTGGTTGCGTTGCGGTCGCGGTTCGTGGGTGAAGACGGGGAGAGCAAGGTTGCGCAGCGCAAGACGATGGTGGTCAATGCGAGGTACGACCAGTCACGACACTGCAAGCGATTTGGGACGGTATATCAGAATATGTTGCTATAAGACTTGTTGCTGGTGTGACATGGACGAGGAAGCGATGTTGGTTGGCACAGGCGTGGACTCATGCGGGTGAGAGTCCCATGCGCTGGGGAGGCGCGGATCTGCAGTCTGCACTGACGTGTCGTGACACAGAGGGAGTGTACGTTCATGGATAACCTCGAGTACTCCTCCTGCACCGGCAGATAACCCCCGGCTGCGGTTGCCAGCATGTGTCGCGCGGCTTCGACATTGTTTGCTGCCGTAAACACGTTCGCGCGTCTTCCCCGCGGACGACCAATGACATCAATCCCTACCTGGCGGCTTTCACCGGCTTTAGGAGCCCTCATGCGCCGAGGCACCTGTCACTTCCCCAGACTTCCAGTCCCCACAAACAATGTAGTCTGCAAGCTTCAAATTGATCCTTCTTACCGTGAATACCTTCAGCTGTGACCATGCGTGCCTTCAGGAAGTCAGCCCGTCTCTCGCGCCAGCTGCTCGCCAGCAATGGCATGCGCTACAACTCCACAGCCACACAGACGACCAAGTCCCTTACATCCGTGCTGATAGCAAACCGAGGAGAAATTGCCCTGTGAGTGCGTTCGCTATGCTCAGAGATTCTGTGCTCATGCCTCGTTCAGACGAGTCGGCCGGACAGCCTCGGAATACGGCATCCGGACCACCACCCTCTACACAGACCCAGATGCCCGGTCGCAGCACGCTTTGAGCTCTCCCTACGCAGTCAACCTCGGCGACCCGTCTGCATATCTCGATGGCGACAGGATAATACAGATTGCGAAAGAGCAGGGCTGTCAGGGCATACATCCCGGATACGGCTTTGTAGGAACATCCCTGGTGTAGTGCTGTCGGGTGAAAGCTGACAACAATGCAGTTGAGCGAGAACCCTACGTTCGCGAGAAAGTGCACAGAAGCGGGCATAACCTTCATTGGTCCACCATGGAAGGCTATCGAGTCCATGGGAAGCAAGAGGTAGCGTTCAGAGCACTCCTTGGCGAAAGTTGGCTAACATGGGACAGTGAGTCGAAAGACATCATGACCAAAGCCGGCGTGCCATGCATTCCTGGATACCACGGCTCGAACCAGGATCCAGACTATCTCAAAAGCGAGGCGGCCAAGATTGGATACCCCGTCCTCCTGAAAGCTGTCAAAGGTGGCGGTGGAAAGGGCATGCGCATTGTCAACACTGAGCAAGAGTTCTTCGATCAGCTTGCATCCGCCAAGTCAGAAGCACGCAACTCGTTCGGCGACGAGGTCATGCTGGTCGAAAAGTACATCACAACACCAAGGCACATCGAAGTCCAGGTCTTCGCGGACAAGCACGGCAACTGCGTCGCATTGGGCGAGCGTGACTGCAGTATCCAGCGACGACACCAAAAGATTCTTGAAGAGTCACCCGCACCACATCTCCAAGAACACATCCGACAAGACATCTGGGAGAAGGCCCGACAAGCTGCGCTCGCTGTGGGCTACGAGGGAGCGGGTACCGTCGAGTTCATCTTCGACAATGACAGCGGCGAGTTCTTCTTCATGGAGATGAACACTAGGTTGCAAGTCGAGCATCCAGTCACTGAGATGGTTACAGGAGAGGATCTTGTCCGATGGCAGCTCATCGTAGCAGAAGGCGGACGCCTGCCACTCACTCAGCAGGAGATCGAGCAACGCATCAGCGAGCGAGGCCACGCAATAGAGGCGCGTATATACGCAGAGAACCCAGACATGAACTTCATCCCTGACTCTGGCCGACTGCTACATCTCCAGACACCAACTCCTTCAACCACGGTTCGCATAGACTCGGGTTTCATTTCCGGCGACGAAGTATCCTCACATTACGACCCCATGATCTCGAAACTCATCGTCCAAGGCCCAACGCGAGAAGCTGCTATCCAGAAACTGCGTGCTGCGCTCGAGGAGTATGAAGTTGCTGGGCCCATTACCAACATCGAGTTCATCAAGCGCATGTGCGTAAGTCCCGACTTTGTCGCTGGAGACGTCGAAACAGGCTACATCCAAAAGCACCACGCCGAGCTCTTCGATCCACAACCCCCAGCACCAGAAGTCTACGCGCAAGCCGCCTTGGGTCTGACACTCCAAGACATCTCCTCATCACGCGGTGACCCATTCTCTAGCCCGCCCATCACATCCATCGGCTTTGGCTCAGGGACCGGCTTCCAACAACGCGAGTTCAATCTCGTCGAGATCCCCGCCGACGGCAAAGGCGACTCAAAGGCCACTCCAGTCACCATCCGTCAGACCGCCCCGTCGCAATTCGACATCACTATCGCTGGCACTAAATACTCTAACGTGACATCGACATTCTCACCCTCCTCCAATACCCTCTCCTCCTTCTTCCCACATACCCGCCTCTCTACAACATTCATCCGCGACGAAGACCGCCTCACACTCTTCCAACAAGGCCGCCAATACCGGCTGCAGCTCGCCATGCCCGAGTGGACCAAGAAAGCCTTGGGTGTCAAGGATGTGACAAACAGTGTACTTGCGCCCATGCCATGTAAGGTGCTGAGGGTGGAGGTAGAAGAGGGCCAAGAAGTCAAGCGGGATCAGCCGCTAGTAGTCATTGAGAGCATGAAGATGGAGACGGTGATAAGGAGTCCGGTTGATGGTGTTGTTAAGAGAGTTGTACATGGTAAAGGGGATCTATGTAAGGCTGGGACAGCACTTGTGGAGTTTGAAGAAAGGGATGAATGATGATTACAGGGGAAAATATGGGGTTATGTTTCTTATGATGGTGTTCTAATTCAAAAACTAACATCGGATTCTAAAACTACGGGTGCCATGATTTACCGTCTAGCACATAATGACAGACATGAAGTGGCAGTGCAAGATGCGTTATCGTCTATCGCCCGTCCGGGTGTCATCTTACGCCCGATATCACAATACTGCGCCGCATCAACGTATACCCGGGCGCCACGGCATGCGAGCAAGGCAACACAAGCTCGGACGCCACGGCACCCGAGCATCTTAATTCCCAAACATACTCATCCTAAGAACGTCAACTCTGATGCTCCCTACAGTGATGTGAGACTTCATGACGCGGTCCTAGTGGCGCTATCTCCGCCCGGTGCTATTGCGGCGCTGTCCTGAAGCCGGCTCGTCCGCCTTGCGCACGAACAATGTGATATCTTCAAGGACGCGCAGTAAAAGAGCTGGAATTAATGGATATATCAAACTCAGTTTCTTCCCGGACCGATTGCAATATAAAGACATATATGCTCTGAGAGTTCCGTCTTTCATCACCACTAGCAACACCACATCGCGACTCACGATCAACATCAACACATCACCACCACATCCCAATCCACGACCAACGTCAACAAAACAACCACCACAATCAATCATGGGCATCTGCGACCAAGTATCCCAAGCCTTTCCCCCGGCTCCGAAATTTACAGAATCCTCCATCCCCTCCCTCGCCGGTAAAGTCTACATCGTGACCGGCGCTTCCGCCGGCGTCGGCCGCGAACTCGCACGCCTCCTCTACTCGCTCAACGGCACCGTATACGTCGCCGCGCGGAATGCCGAAAAATCCACTGCCGCCATCGCCTGGATGCGGGAGAGCCACCCCTCATCCACAGGTCGTCTCGAGTTTCTAAAGCTCGATCTCAACGACCTGACGGGTATCAAAGCGTCCGCCGAGGAGTTTCTAGCCAAGGAGAAGCGCCTCGACGTGCTCTTCAACAACGCAGGCGTCATGGTGCCCCCGCAAGGCAGTCTTACCGCCCAAGGCTTCGACCTCCAACTCGGCACGAATTGCATCGCGCACTTCCTCTTCACCAAGTTCCTGACCCCGCTGCTCGTCTCCACCGCCGCGGTGTCGGACACGGGCAGCGTGCGCGTCATCTGGGTGAGCAGTAGCGCGGCGCACGTGGGCTCGCCCAAGGGCGGCGTAGACGTCAAAGCGCTGGGCGACGGCGTCATGGCGACGAAGAACGTAAGGGACAAATACGCCATCAGTAAAGGCGGGAATGTCTTGCATGCGATTGAATTCGCTAATCGATACGCCGATAAGGGCGTTTTGTCGGTCGTAAGCGCAAATTTCCCTACTCTCCCCCACCCACCCCCCTTTTATACTTACTAACCGACACCCGCAGTCGCTCAACCCAGGTAATCTCAAAACTGAACTGGGGCGCTACATTCCTCCGCTCGTCAATAAGGTCCTGACTGCGCTCCTCTTGCACCCCGCGGTCAACGGGGCGTACACGGAGCTCTACGCGGGGCTGAGCCCGGATGTGGTGGGCATGAAGAAGGGGGAGTGGGTTGTGCCGTTTGGGCGGATTATGTCGCTGCGCAAGGATTTGGCGGAGGGGGGCAATGCGCGGGAGTTTTGGGAGTGGACGGAGAAGGTGGTAGAGAAGTATTTGTGATGTGAGATGAGGTTTTGAGGGGGGATTAATTTTATGGATGATACCTTGGAGGAATCTTGATTTGGGCTTTTTAGATTGGATATGCGAGGCGGTAATGGTTAAGATATCAGGAACTTGTTTTTTTGTTACATGCGAAAGGCGACTTGTGTATGTATGGATGTTCCACGATTGTGACGTTTTTTTTTCTCAAAATCTGAACGTGTCAGACATGAGAAAGCTAGGCAAGTATTATCTTGAGCTGTTTTCCATATAGCTACACACTGAACGATGACCAGGCAAAACGTACTTAGATTGGATGTGCATGCAATCCGGTGACACTTATTTGAAGATTGACTTGAGCATGTCGGGATCAGGATGCATTCGCTACTGAAGATCGCAAAGGCTATGAAATAGATGTTAAGATACTATGCGAAGGCTGCTGGTCAATGTTGCAACACTTCATCCCGTTTTCCAAGTAGGCTATGCCAATTGTGGAGTCATAGAGTGAAAGCCAGATCACCTGAAGTTTCTCCTTTTATTCAATTGCTCTATAAGCACAGGACGTTTTTCATCCAAGCCTAGTGCCACTTTGTGACGTAGCAGTTCGCACTTCTAACGCTCTTCGACTGCATGGCGTTCCATCTTAGCTTTCCTGTCATGTCCAGCAGAGTACAGATTGGTGTCTCTCTAAACATCCCGGACTGTGTTTGCATGTCTACGCAACGTCCAATGCGGAGGCCTTTCTTCCACCACATAACCCCTCGGTACATCCCTTGCTCTCATCAATGTAATCTGCGCCGCATCGTCTCCCGTCTTCCAGATGCCCCTCTCGATCTTCAACTTAAACAGCCTCTTCATCTTGTCCACCGCATAGTCCATGCCATCCCAGAACGCGAAGTCTCCAGCATGGTTTTCGCGCGCAACGGGCTTGATATCGTCCAGGGTCCACTCACGTGTGTCGAGGCGAGATTCCGTGAGGTTGTGCTGTTTGCACAGAGCCGAGTAAGCAAAGAGGAGGCCAGCGTTGATGCCGGCGTTGCGAGGATTGTGGGGATTATTCAGATCCTGGAGATACTTTGTGTCAATAGATGAAGACAGTAAACGAGCCGGGCTGCGCTTATGGTGGCTGTGCTCCATGTCGAGAACGATTGCTTTGCGGTGGTTCAAGGAGCGCATAGCATGAAACCAGCCGGTGTAGTAATCGTGCCTGCGCAGCAGCGCGGCTGCTTTGTCATTTGAAGGTGTGGTGGACGCGGAAGCACGGACTTTGTCGAGATGGAGCAGAGAAACGTTACCGTAGCTGAAAGGATATGTGTTGCCAGCAGCATGCATGAGGATGGTGTGACTCGGGTTGCGCAATCCTACAGCCTCTGAGCTGACTTGACTATCGCCACGGTGCAAGGCAATCGATTCCTCGAGCTGGAGAAGCGTGGCTTCCAGGTTTCTGACCTCTTGAGCAGTGTTGGTCCTTTTGCGCTCAAGCTGTTCAGCTTTATCATTAAGCCTATATGATTTCCTCGCAAGAGCTTCAGCCTTAAGCTTCAGTCGTCGGTCTTCGAGCATAAGTGCCCTCTCCTTCTCGAACTCGCGGAAGAAGACTGCCTTGATGGCTTCTTCGCGCTTCTGACACTGCGCCAGATCTTGTTCCAGCTTGGAGGTATATCGCTCAGACTCGCGCTTTTGCTGTTCTAGGCGAGCGTCAAAGTCACGCTTCTGGTCTTCTAGGCGCTCTTCTAGGCGGCGCTGCGCGGAGTGAGAGGCGGCAAGCTGTGTAAGTAAAAGCTCGTGGTTTAGCCTGGAGGCGGCGGTGGCGGTGAGGGCGACACTAGACGCGAGCGAGCCGGTTGACTCGTCGGAGTCGCTGGATTCGGCTGTTTCGGAGCTGTTATCACTTACGCTCTCGGGCGGCGGTAGTGAGCGCAGTGTCCAGGGCATCGTCGTATAATCTTGTGGCGGCGCCATGTTGAAGCTGAGTGTCACTTGCGGGTGGTGCTTGACGTGTAGATCGTGGAATTCGATTGTAAATATTGAAGTTGTGCGTTCGGTAGCTCCGGCGATATCGGCACCCGTACGCTCCGACCTGCGAGCATATCATGGTGTTGAGAGAGGTGGTGAAAGTGAGGGTCGCGCGTACTCGAACACGAACAACACAACGGAAGCTCGGGACATTACAGATATCAGCTTTTAGAGGTATGTGCTATTGGATACTTGGCGTCCAATAATGCTGTAATGTTGGTTATATTGAACACAGCGAAAGTTATGTGCACGCAAGGAGGCACGTGCGTAGTTGGGCGGATTCTCACACTGTTCAAAGAACTAAAGGTAATAGAGATTTAGCTACTCACTCTCAACTCTTAAGAACTCTGTGCACAGATAGCGATGCCTTTTTTTTTATAGCTATCGTATCACACCTGTGCTCACCAAAGACGAAAACTCTCGTCGTAGAACCATACATTCCAGCACCGTTCGAGTGGCAGATATACTCCACAACCCGCATCTCTATCTTGTGTTTCTGTCAAAAGACGGTATGAGCCCTCGCTATCCATAGAGCTCCTTTCCTGATAAGCCGCACAGCTCATGCCTCTTCCTCTAACATCCTCTCGAATTTCGCCTTCATCTCCTCTTTTGCCTCCGCAAAGCCGTGCCAAAACCCCGCTTCATTGCGGTCATCACCACCAATTCCACACGCAGATTCGATACATTCCATGGGCCAAGTATATTTGTCCAGTCGCATATCCCATTCGGGCTTGTGATTGGCACACAACGCGGCGAAAGCGAATAGTGCTCCTGCATTACGTCCATTACTCTCGGGATTGGCAAGGCAGTCATTCAAGTATGGGGAGTTTTCGACCTTTGGCTGAGTTTGTTCCCATTCTTTCATCAAAGTCTGATAGGAACAGCTGTAGTATCCAATGTAGTAGTCGTGGCGACGGAGTGTCTGGACATCCTGGCCGTTCATGATAGCGGCAGAAATATGGAAATCGTCGGTATCCAAGTGTGCAGTATTGCGGGAAAAGCTGCAGTGGGCATAGTCACTGAGGCCAAGATAGTTGACGCCAGCCTTTTGACGAACGCGGTCGGCTTCCAGCTTAGAAGTGCTCGGTGTGTAGTGGCCCAGCGCCTTTTGCAATTGCATCACTTCTTTCACTTTCTCGTTCGTGCTCTTCTCTTTCTCGACGATGTATTCCTCTTGCTTGTTCAGCTGCTTCATTTTCTCTTCAACCACACGTTCTCTTTTCGCCAGCTCCTGCTCCCTCTCAAGGTTCTCGACAAACACCGCCTGCACAGCTGTCTCACGTTTGCGACCATGCTCAAGCTCTTTAGACAGATCGTGCTGTTTGCTTAGGAGCTCTCTAATACGGCTCTCCTGTTGGCGTTGGAGTGCGTGCGATGCTGCAAGCTGCTCGATAAGGGCTTCCGTGTTTGGAGTGGCAGCTGAATGGTCAGCGCAGAACATCGCAATGTCTCTGGCGTACTTACTTCGCAAAGGTGTGGGAGAGTCATCCTCCTGGGCGATGTTCGAGCGAGGAGCCCATGGCATCGAAGTGTAGTCCTGCGGCGTCGCCATTCCAAAAGAGCGACTGCTGCGCTCAGGACGGTGTTTGCGGTTGCAGAATAGAGCTCGGTGGGTTAAACATCATTGTGTGATTATTGTTGTCGGCGTCGGCGTATGCGTGCTCCGACCTAATATCATGGCGTTGCGAGAGATGGTGAAAGTGAAGAGTGCAATGGGAACCTCAAAACCTTGCGATGCTTCGTGTAAATAGTGACAGCACATGATGAGCTACTCTCAAAAAAGTCTTCTGTGTGGATTTCTAGACATTTAAGCTCCTTCCCAGGCGAGATTAAGTCTTCGCGACTGTTGACCACACCAGCCGTGCGTGAAAAACTATACAACAGAAATTAAACACACAAACGTAAAAATTAGCCACGCACAACATTACTCCCTTCCCCACCTCACTTACTTCCTTTTTACAATCCCGCAACCCACACGCACTCAGATATATAGGCGCTAAGTGGCTATCACAAAAGCAAATATATCTCCTATACGTAAAGCCCCTCTCACATGAACCCATATGTACCTTACCCAAACCACCATCCCACCATCAAAATTCCTGCAGGTTGGAAACTAAAAGGTCATTCTTCTGCCATGACCAACCCATCCGCCACGAAGGTTACAAGTAGTTCACGTTCACGATAAAACAGTGTGACTGTTTTCAGCAGCTGGCGTCACATCCACGGTATTAAGAAAATGCGGTCATGATTCCACCCAAGGCAGGGCATGCTATTATTTGTGCTTTTGGGGAGTTGATGGCGATGAAGCAGGTCACAGTAGCTTAACTCGCGGCATGCAGCACTGACATATCATGTATTTTCAATGTGTTCAGGTAACTAATCTACTCCTGCTAGCAAAGTCGTAACGGATTACCAGCACATTTACCACATGCCACAGTTCTAGCAGGTCGTGTGTAGCAGCCAGAGCACCCAGCTGATTAAGTCCATCTCCGGCTTTGCAGACGTCTCCAACATTGGCCTGAGATGGTGTTGGTATGCTTCCGTGTCAACAATCATCAGAAAGCACCTGCAGATGGGTGCGTGAGCAGCCGCGATGCCCAGAGATGATGGACATCAGCCCAAGGGTTGAGAGTTGGCCATGTGTGTCTGTACCGCCCTCTTTCTAATACTAAGGGATGATGCTGTTTGTACATGTCCACAGACATGCAACCACCATGTCGTGTAATATCGTGCTTATACCAGCAACGTTCCCCACGCCTCGCTGACGAGCTCACATTGTATCCTAGCCCGCAACCAATTGCCCGCTCGAAGGTTTGTAGACGAATCGATGCGATCGACGATAGCGATGGGGTTTTGAATGCTCAGGGTCTTGAATGCTAGATGCTATGGATTAATGGCGAATTAGCAGTACAACAGTGAAGTGTCGGTTTGATGGAATTGAGGTAAACTCTTGCCCTCCACATCAGCTCTGAGTCGTGTCTGCCTTCGTGCCAAAGAGTATGAGATAATTGAGCATCGGCTCAGCGATGGCGGGATCTTGGTACTCAGTGGCACATCTTGCTGCTGTCTTAGGACAGATGTGCCTTCAAAGAAGTAGTACGAAGGTGTGGGATGCACTGAGCGGCTGGAGGAGGTGCATTGCATGAGAGCGTTGAGGCGATGTTGTCAAAGATATCGTACACGCAATATTCGACCTCAGATCGTTTGCACATTCTCAGTTGAGCAGGCAACCACATGTGGTCTGTTCGAGCTTACAAAGGCTCAGAGCCCTATTTCAAGTGGACAAGAACGACAGTGACTCCACGGATGAGACGATATCAATGTATTCAGAATCAATGTAGTGTGATTCTGGTCTCCAGTGTTCAGAGAATACATCACCACGCTGTAGAGCTAGCTCTGCAGCTCGTCGAGCAGCTACACGCACTGCGCGACTGCGCGACTGCTCGCCCCATCACCACAAGCTCTCCCCTTCCCGATGCCGGCGAAAAGTCATCACTCATCGCGCTCACCAGACTGAACTTGTCCGATTTCCGTCGCACCACTCGCCCAACCCACATCACAGCAAAATCCTCCATCCACCATCCTCTTCTCACCAATAGCCAAACCAAGTCCCCTTGTTCAGTTCCCCACCGCCCTGCACCCAGATCTGAAACCAGGATGTATCTTCCGCCAGTGCTCCAGCTTAACCCCTCTCTAATATAGCCCCGTCAACCAGCTCCCACGAATCACCGCGCTCACCCTACATATCCCACCAGCAACACGAAACCTAGGTAGACGCACGAATGAGCCGAGTACTCGTAGCCAGTCAGGCCAGAATCTCCACCTTCGATGTTGCAGTAGCTTTGTTGGTTGCATGTAGATTAGGCGCACGCGTCTGCAACTTGCGGCCGCAAAAGCAGGTTTCAGTGTATGTGAAAGATGGATGATCCCTGGGGATGTGTGGGCAGGGATGGCATGAGGCGGCAGCTCTCCAAGTCACCCCGCACATATGTTTGCTTCATTTGGAGAGTCTAGAAGAGAGTAGTGGTTTGTTATTGCCTAAGTGAGTATACGGGAGGTAGATCTTGGGTGCCATTTCGGTGCAGTTGGTGCGGAGAAACTGGATGTGTTGACGTAGTGCTGATGCCAGCGCAAACTCTGGCTAAAGCAGGTGAGGGGGGTTACGTTATGATTGAGTGGCGATGGGAAGTGAAGCTGTAAGTACAGACTTGAACAACTCATGATCGGCAGTTGTTTCCGGGCCCGCAATTGCTGCGATTTGTGAAGATGGAGTAGAGGATTGGATACCTCGAGGGTTGACCTGGAGTCGATCACGTCAGGCTGTGACCGGGGTTTCTGGATCTTTGAAAGGGCATTCCAAGGAAGCTTGTTCGTGCTGTCATTCATACCGTGCCGCGTTTTGACACTTGCGAGTCTCACGATTGTCTCTGGCGGCAGGACAGGGGAATCCAGGCGACGACTTTCTACGTGTCGCGGTCAAGGCATACTGGCCATGTCCATGGTACTGCACTGTAGTGTGAGTGGGGCGGCTTCACTGCGATTGTCAATGCGGCAATCCACACGCTGAAACACGCGTTTGAAGATCCAGTTCTCGATGAGATGTCAAAGGAGGCGTTGTGTAACTCTCGGCACCTATACCGCCCGGCATCGGCTGCTGTCGCATAAGTTTGGCAACGCTATGCACTGCCCCCTGTGTGCGACAGAAACACACGCTCGAGTATCAGCGATTTTTAGGGGGCCATGTGCTATTTTTGGGCGAACCAGCGTACATGTGCGATCCTGCCTAACATCGGTACCAGAATTTGCATTGTCGTACGGTACCTTAGGGCGCATTCCGGGCTTTCGAAAAGAAAATGTGGTACGGGGCGCATGGATCATAGCTGATGTTTTCGTCTCCGATTACACACCGAGTGTGTTGGTGGGACGTGAGCAACAAGTACCAGCGCGTCAAGCGACGCAAATAGAACCGGTCATGTGCATTGCTTTGGACTTTTCATCCGTCGTAGTGCATGTCTTTTGAATTCGAGCTACGCTGATCGTGATCAAGCGGTAGTGTTGGATTGGACCCCCTGTGCCTTTGACGATGTGGAAATGACTCGACCGACACCGCCATCAGCCTCACCGTTGGGGATGATGCAATGGCTCAAAGAACAGATCAGATCGTGGTACAAACGGTCTGTAGCGTTCGCCCTATCGTGAACCGCTGAATCGCGTAGATGGTCAAGTCATGCAACGAGATGAAGGCGTTGGCGAGCATTGTAGGGCTGTTCTAGAAGGCCGCTAGAAGGACACTATGATCGTGAAACGCGTGCAAAGGCCAGCTATGCTGTTGGTCACGAGGTCCAACTGCTGAAAGTGTATTTTCAGTTCGGCATCACAAGCCGCATAGAAAAACAACTTTATTTGTGTTGGCTTGGGCAGTAAGTCCGCGGTTGCAACGCACCAATCTTAATGATCATGCGTTACTTTACCAGCATTGGCCAAAGCTCCAGTAGCGCATACTGGACGTAAGCGTTCGGCTGAATTACACGACCAGGAGTTTGAGGTCCGGTCGCCCACTTCTAGTAGTGAACCGAAGTTGATGATGAAGCTAATGTTGGATGCTAACGGCAATCTCCTATTGCAAGACTAGAAGTTGGACATCAGCAGGTCAGAACCGAGAGTGCCAGCTGTGTGATTGCGAGGAGCGGAAGCTAGTACGAGCGCGTCGTAGATCTATTCGTGTTATATTGTAACTTCAAGAGTGAAGTTTGGGTATGAATCAATAAGTGCAGAATACTGTGGAGAACGCAGAGTTGCCAAGATGAACACACGATACTAGGCTTTGCCACGCGACACAAAACGTGCGCATCGTGACAACTTTGGGATCTAGTTGACTGACGCGGCGCCGCTACCATTGCGCTGGATTTCGTCATAGATTTCGGATCACGACTTCGTGGAAATGGATCATCAGGTAGTCATACAGCAAGATCAACTCGACCAGTGAGGTGATAGGATGGCTGTCCTTAAAGAAATATACAGGTTATCGGAGTGCTCAGCAGTAACAAGCCACAAGGATGTCACTATGAACCAGCGCTCGTTGGCTACAGCTAGCTGTGTGTATGCTGGATATTTCATCGTAGACTTGCTTCGATAAGGTCGTGCATGACCCCTAGGAACAGGCGGAGGTGCGCGACTGAACGCAGGCTGCCAGGAGTGCTCACGAACTCAATCGTTCTCCGTGTAACAACAGTGCTATACCCACTGCACCAGCCGCTCCGATTTTTTGAAGTGAGCAGCAAACGCACAAGGGGCGGGGTTCGAGTCTGGAACCTTGATCGGCAGTCGTGCTTCGTATCTTTGGAGCGTCCTGCAGCGCATCGACGCGGACTGTCTAAGCGGACTGACATCATGGTTGTCTGTCCAAGATGACCTTGCTGCAGGAATCAGCCCATGTCCAAATCCTTCCGCGAATAGTCCGTTCGAATCATCGTTGTGTTTGCGAGTGGTGCTAACAGGGTTTGCGCGGGAGACCGGCCTGACCTTGTTGCACCTCTGTGGTATCGCCTGGGGTGGCACGTCCTCGTATCACAACAAAAGCCGGCAGAAGGAGCCATCCTGGCTAGCCCAATCACATTGTGACGGGCGCCTGTCAAAAATGCCGCTTATGCAGAAGCGTTGAAAAGAGATGGCTCGGTTAAAGAAGTTGGACATTTCAAAGCAAAGCTTCCAGTGGCAAGGTTGGTAAGCGAAACCTGTGGCACTTTCATCATTCATGAGCGCGATCGAGGTTGCATCCGCGGGAATGCTTACTTTATGTTGTCGGCAAAGTAAACGGACCAATCCGATTGTTGTGTTGCATGTCTTCCGGGGCTCGTGGTTCAACCCAGGCCCCAAATGGTTGACCCTCAAGGGCTGCGGGAGACATGGTCGAGGGGCCCTGAGGAGATCGTCAAGCCTGGCTGTCAAACTGCGGTCCGCAGTACGAGCATGGCTTGCTTGCATTTGCTGTTCTTCCATCTTGTAAAATGTCTGCCGAACGACTTGGGCGGCGCAACGGTGGAATAGATTCGGCGTCAAAGGAATATTCCGTCTTGTCGACACGCGCCCAAGAAAGTTCTCAATATAGCGTCCGATGCGCAATTAGTTTCGTAAGAGCGGCCTTATCAAAGGTCAAAAATTTGCAGAGAATCTCTTTTCAGACATTTCATGCCGATCACGCCCCGGCGACTTAGCCGGAGTGTTTCCGGTACGCGGTCAAATGTCGCGGCAGATGTAGCCCGTCTCTGATTGGGCGATTCAGTTTGGTATCAGTCGAGACGGGGAAGGACGCTACACTGCGTCTAGTATCTCGTCTGCCTTGCGACTGCTGTATGACTGTAATGCAGGCAAGATGTGGTAACGGCAGGAAAGTGCCTTGTACATGATGAGCATTGCAGACATGGCAGGCTGCCAGCGCTAGGAGCAGAATTGGCGGGACGAGTCGGTATCCTTGCGCAGTAGCGTGGACACCATGCCTTGTGATCGTCCACCGTTGTTGCGCAGGCCTGTATCCCTGCCTCCCGCGAGCAACGGCGAGAGACAAGCGTCACGGTATGGATTTTCGCCAGGCCTGACTGTGAGATCAACCGCACCCGAGATTGTGTTTATGAAACCTGTTTGTGCACCAGATTGACTACACTGCCGAGCTGCGCGCATAGTCACGGCGGCATCGCATCCGGGAAGATGTAGCTGCTGTAGAACCCGCATGCTTACTGTCCACAATTCGACAGCATGCAGCAGTCGACGAGGCACCCCAGCTGACCAAGTTGATATGCACGTCGCCGTCAAGCCTCATCAGAACGACGCACAGGCTGCTAAGGCCCGGCAATCAGTGTGGCAGAACCCACAGATGGCATGTCAACGTAATGTGCTGACGGTGGCAGCATGCAACTTGTCACAAGTGGTGCGACGTTATTTGGACAGGCCCGAACGTGTCGAGGCTAGAACTCTATCTATGACGGGGCCTGGGGAAGCTGGAGCGCGCAAAGTGTCTGTAATTGTGGTTGCAGAGGGTGGGCTCTGGGACGTGGTACACTAGTGAGCCGTTGTAGTATTGAGAGCATTGCGACTGTCGCAAAGGGGCCGACGATAGAGTGTTGTAGTGCTCATAGCATTGCGAGCGTGAACTGGCGTTCAAATAAAGTTGTTGGTCGCTCGGTTCCTGACCGGTCGCCCTTGTCGCGAGCAAGGTGGCAAGCCAGGCCAGCGTGGTGCTCCCAGGGTTTCTCCGCACCCCACTGCGAACGCCTCGCTCGGAATATTACAGGTGTTGGTCAGGCCCAGGTCCCATGTCGCGATCGCAGACAGGGAGCGTCACGCATAGAGCATGGAAGACGCAACATGTTTCCGTCGCAGCAGATTCTGGAAAGCTGTCAAACAGCAGTTCTTGCGCGATTGTGAAGATGCGGGCGCCGCGTGTCGCGTTTCAAGATTTGAATTGCATGTTCCAACCATACGCACTCGCAGCATCCAGAGACGGGACGGAGGCACGTCGCATTGCCAACGTGACGGATCGAGATGAAGCAATCGCACCGAAACGCTCCTTGTGGTCGCCTCCGGCGCAGCCGCGGAGGAGACGCGCTGGTCACGATTGCGCAGACTCGCATTCGCCGGAAGTTGTTGAATGTTTTTTTTTGGTTGCAACGCGTGAGAGTCGCGTCGAGCATGATGCTCATTTCGAGCACACGCGCAGTCAGCGTCCGCCAAACAGTCAGATGCCGGCCGTAAGCGAATGTCGAGAGCAGGGCTGGGGTGGTGGGTAAGCTTGGGACCCGGCCCCCATCATCCATGGTCAGATGTGCCCCTGAGGTTCACGGCGAGGCGTACATACGGTACGATGCTGCCAGCGCCAGGTATCGGCGCCATGGCTCCGCGATCTTCGCGAGGCTGGTCGCCAGGAACGATCAGCAGCGATGGTCCAACACGCTGCCCTTGACCCGTCTCCCGCTGGCCATGCCCACGCGCTGCAGAGTGTTGCGAACATGGCTCGACAATCGCGCGCTAGACCGGCTTGGGCTGCGGCGGGCTTGCTTCGGCCAGTGAAAGCAGGCGACGTTGGGAGCACTCAGGCGCTGCTGGCGAGCCGTTTGGGCGCCTTCTCACCGGCGCGCGCAGCCAATGGGCGGCGAGGCGGTGGGCCGGCGGGCGGTGGTGCAACTGCACAACGGTCGACTAGCGGCCGTACAGAGGACTCGAGTGTCGAGCAGCGCTGATATTGGCACTGCGACTGCGACGGCGAGTGACGCGTCCGCTTGGGTAAGGCCGCGGGCGGTGCGCGGTGTGGCTCGAGAAACAATGCAGGGGGAGATTTATGGGGGAGCAGAAACAGCAGGAGGATGATTATCGAGCTATAGCAGGCCGGGCCTAAGGCGTGTTGGGTGCCGGGGTGCTGCGTGTGTTTATGCATTTACCCGAGCAGGAAGCGACGCGACCAGGCAGGCCGTTCGGTGCAGGAAGCAGGAGCAGATGCCATCATCGCGCACGAGAGCGTCCGGTGTGTGTATGCGCAGCGGTGGAGAGGACGCTGCTAGCTGGGCGCGCCTTCTGCTTCGGACGGCACCTTCCCACGCCAGACCGCAGAGGCAGGCGCGCCCCACCGCACGCTCGCCGCGAACGAGTTGCAGTCGCAGTACGCACTCCTTCACCTCCACCTGTCTTTGTTGCACGTCACCCCCGGCGCGTCTGTTCCCACTTGGGCCATCGCTCGTGTCCGCGATCCGACTCGACTCGCGCGCATTACACAGACAGGCCCTGCTCAGCATCCGGCGGCGATCCCTGATCCCGGCGTGCACGCATCCGCTGACGGCGCTCAAAACAGCTCCTGGGCCGGGCGTGCAGGGAGGTGGCTGGCTCCGGGAGGCTTTAGTTGTTTTACGTTTATTTCACGGCCGTCTCCACCTCGGCGCACCCACCGCCCATCTTGCTCTGCTCAGACTGAATCTGCTGTCCGTGGGCCTCGCTTTCACCTTTGCGACTAGCGTGCGACGGCTGCCCGTAAAATTGCGCAGGCCGCGCTACTGCATCTTCCACACTCACCCTCGTCCACTGCGCCCGGGCCTTCTCGACCGGATCCTTCGACCACCACCGCGCCCGCAATAATAACAATCATGTCGCAGAAGCATGCGACAGATAGGCCCCGGAAGTATAAGGAAGACCCGGCGCCTGTAGCGTCGCAGACAATGGTGAGTTGACTCTGCTTCCCTGTCCCAGCACCACGCACCACGCACTCCTCCTACGCTCGCTTCACCCTCTGCGCCGCCCGACACTCATCGGCCCTACTCCTGCGACCTGTCGACCGTTGAAAGCTACGACAAGTCGCGTCGAAACCTGTCACCGCTTGCTCGCAGCTTCATCCTCGTTCCTTTTGCATCTTGCAGAAAGCCTCTGCAAGCCGCCTCCACCACCTCACACTACCCCAGCTCCGGCGCCCCTCAGCCTACATGGTATGCCCTTCCCGCCAAGCACCCTGCTACCCAAGCCCGCCGCCTCCCCTGTCCGTGCCTGTCGCACCTCTCTCAAGTCGCTTTCCTTGCAATGTTCCATTCTAGTCCGCTGCCTCTTGTCACTCCAGCCCAGCAGCGACACCCCTGCCAACTGAGAGGGCCTCCGCTCCCACCGCTGGTCCGCCCTCTGAGTTGTCACCGTTGCCCAATCTCGCCCATCTCGCCCTGCCCTATTAGTCTACCTGTCCCATCCTATAAACTAAACCCTACCGTCCTGTCTTTTTGTGGTATACCCTGCCCTCGCATCCACGCTGTTGCAGCTCGTTGCCGCCTCGTGTATCACTAGGCGAATCGCATCCCGCACCCCCGCACTGCCACCATCTCCAGCTTCACTCTTCTTTTATTCCCTGCCCTGATCGTCGCCATTGTTGCGAACACCGCCTCTTATCTTTTACCATCGTTACGCCTGCAGTCTTGCTGACCTTGCTGCTCTTAGCATCATCCCCACCCCTCGCACGGCTTACCACCGCCGAACCACCACCCGGCCCACCATCCTAGGTCCGGAGTAGTTCACCACAACCACCACCCACAACAACAACATCATCAGCAGCAGCACCCCGACTCCCCTCACCAGTCAGTCCCAGCACAGAGTCCTGCCCAGGCGCACTACCCTTCACCTCATCCTTCGAACCCTCAAGGACCGCCTTCTCACCAATCGCCGTATATCCAGCAAATCCAAGGTCCTCCTCCGCCGCAGCAACAAGAAGTCCCTTACTACTCGGCGCACCCCAGCCCTTATAGCACTAATAGCGCTCCGAGTAACTACTCGTCATCAGGTACGTGTTTTGTTTGCTCAATTCGTGCAGACGCGCCCGTCAAACAATGCTAGCGCGTCGTGAGATCGCGGGGTCGCACTGCGATTTCATGTCCTCGCACAATCAATCCTCAAGAAAGAATTCGGCTGACTTGCCCCAGAACCGCCTGATATCATGGCCACAGCGACCATGAACCGATCGGGCTTTCCCCCAATCTCTTACCACACCCCACAGTCAAACTCGCCTGCGTCTGTCCAATCACCACAGCACGACCAGCACGGCAGGCCAATCTACGGTCAGCCTCCCAGCCAGATGCCTCAGTCAATGTACTACACGCGCGTACGCGTCGACAGCGGTACCACAACAGTCTCCGTACCCCCAACATCCTTCTTCCGCACCTCAACAGTCAATGCCATCAAACTCGTTGTTGATGTCCCATCAGCAACAAGGTCAGCAGATGCAGCACCCACACCAGCAACCACATCCTCACACTCCCGGAATGACCGGAAGCCCCAAGTCCAGGATGTCGCAAACACCGCTGCAGCGGCCACCATCAGGGCTTGGCCCGCCGCAAGCGCCTCCTCAGGGTCCTCCCGTCGGCGCGCCCAACATGCACGCCGGCCCCCCAGGTGGACCGAACGTGAACCCAAACGCTGCTCCCGGCCCAATTCCAGCTACCACTCCTCTAGGTTGTCCGCCAAGACCAGAATGGCGTCCAATGGATTGCTTTCGAGTACTCTCGTGACCGTGTCAAGATGGAGTACACAATTCGTTGCGACGTCGAGTCAATCAACGTTGATGAACTTCCCCAGGACTTCAAGACGGAGAATTGCGTTTACCCCCGCGCATGTTGCGCCAAGGACCAATACAAAGGCAACCGTCTGCATTACGAGACTGAATGTAACACAGTCGGCTGGGCATTGGCACAACTAAACCCTTGCTTGCGAGGAAAGCGAGGCCTCATTCAGCGAGCGGTCGACAGCTGGCGAAACAGCAACCAAGACCCGCGCCTGAGGAGCCGACGAGTACGCAGGATGGCGAAGATGACCACTAGGAAATCACAGGCGTCGTCGCATGGTAACCACATGTCGGGACCAGGAGGGCCCGGCGCTCCCGGGGTTCCCAACTCCGCCGGATTGTCAGGGCCACCCCGACCATCGAATATGGGCATGGGAGGTCCCCAGATGCACCACCATCATGACCATCCAGGAGGACCTCAAGGAGGAGCGGATGATGTTAGCGGTATGTTTCACCAGATGTGATGCGATAAGCGCAATTGTTGGATGTTGAATGATACCTCTGTCGTTTTTGCACATGCCTGTACATTACATACACTCCTTGATGTAATACCCCTCGATATCACTGCCCACGTTTGTTTGCACGTTTGTTATTTTACCATCGCACCACCCGCACATGTTTGGTTTTGATCGACACAGGGGGGTCAGGACACTACAATTTTTAGAACGTGCAAGCTAACTTCCTTTGTTTGTAGGATCTGAGTACGGTGAATCACACACCCATCATCACCAAGCACCAAGCGGCTCGCCATCAGAGGTCCGGCCATCACAAAACTTCTACCCAACCTTCCCGACAAGCGACTCTGTCGCAAGCTCAAGTGGAATGCCTCCTATTCACGACAGTCTAAACCATCCCCCGCATCCTCCACATGCGACCGGCGTTGCCGTCTCGAAGCAGCAGGATCAGGATGAAGAGGAGCGGAAGCTTGCCATGTTTGGCGATCTACCGGAGTCTAAGCGACGCAAGTTCATCCTGGTCGACGACGCCCAGCGAGGCACCCGCGTTCGCGTGCGTGTCACCCTCGACACTGTGAAGATGGAGGAGATGCCAGATTCGTACCGCAAGTCGAACTCTGTCTTCCCCAGGAGCTACTTCGCCATGCAAATGACCTCACCGCCTGCAAGCCCGCGTGGCAGCAAGGTATTCAGCGACGAGCCTGACAACGAGAGCGACCCGAGCTTTCCGCTCGCTGGTTCTCAACACGTCCCTGTCCCTACTCTCGACGGCGAAGCTCGTGTACCGAAGCCGCGCCTTACACGCGTGAAGCGCTCCAAGGAAATCACGCTGAACGATCTTGGTTACCGCATGAGCTGGAGCCAGAGCCGTGTCTTCGCTGGAAGGACATTGTTCCTACAAAAATCTCGTAAGTTACTGCGGCGCCATATAACGAAGACATTGCGACTAACCTTCTCGACAGTTGATGCTTACCGCAACAAGATGCGCAGCAGCATGATGGGCCAAGGTCAAGATGTCACGCAAGTGGCTCCTCACTTTGAGACCCGAGTTGGCAAGCGGAGGTGGAACGAGAGAATCGAGAGAAGCAAGAAGATGAGGCGCGAGGGCTCTCCTTAAGAAGCAGGCGCAAAGCCGTCCCTTGTCAGGTACCTGACAGCCGTTGCACAGTACCCGCTTTTACCGGCACTAACAAGGGTTCCCTCTGAACGACCGGGGTTACGTGACCGTTTTCGACACGGCCTGTTCATTAACTCTTGAATCCTCCGCCCACCATACCCAGGAACCGTGTTTCACGTTGGCTTGCCTGGGGTTTCAGGCTGCTTTGTTCCACTCTGCACTCGCGCGTCCCACTCTGTCATAACCTGTATGCAAGTTTTGATACCCGGGGTTGCAAGTCATGAATCTCTTGCGAGCCTTTCTGTCCTTTTTTACAGCCTTTTTTACGATGGGAGCAAAATCATTGATATAGACCTGGGTGCGTGTAATTCAAAAGAAGCAGAAGCTCCTTTTTTTCGGTATAATAGGCGCAGTATAAGATGGGATGGGCTTGTTTATTGCTTACAGCATGTCACGTTTTCGGTTCGGCAATGCTTATGATTGTGTCTTTTTCATCTGAGTGCTTTTATGCGCAGCGAGTGTTGTGTGCTCAATATTTGGTATCTTACATAGGCTGGTTCTACGTATTTTGGACTCTACTCAAGAGAAAAATAAACCATTAGATTAACACCCTGAGGCATAGTGAAGTCTGTTGTTTGCACAACGTCCACCTCTGACTGCTGCGATTGCAAGATTTTTTTCTCTCTTGCGATTCCTTCTCATGCCCATGACTCTCGAACTCCGGACGTTGACGGCAGGGTATGTGACAAGCCGGGAGATGCTTGTCTCGCGTGCGCGACGTAGATCCGTCGAACACCCACGTGCACGCGCAACATGTTCATTTTTTCTTCACGCGCCATTGACGACACCTCTCACGCAAAGTACTCTCCGTACAGTCAGCCAAATCGCACCAGGGCGAAACCAGCAATGGCGATTCAAACCCTTGGGATGTCGTCGGGTTTGGCAGTGAGATTGGGCTGCGTGCAACGTCGATCTCTCAACGCAGCAACGCGTAATCGTCTGGGCGCCCGCCACCCCCCGCGAACCCAGACTGTTCAAATGTGGTATAGGGGGGGCGCGTGGCAAGTTGAGGCTAGATTTTTTTTAATCTGCCCGACACGTCGTCGTCGACCGGAGTTTCGGACACTCGATCGATCGTTTTGCTGGTGTGTGGTACACAGTGTATCTGACATACAATCACTCCCGATCTGATGTGCGATTGTGTCTAGAGTTTCGCGGGGCAGGGATGCGGATTCTCAAGTGAGGTCGACTTGAGCTTGTTCAGGCAGGTGGGTTTGGCAGGGAGATTTGAGAGGGACGACGGGAAGTGGAGGGCGTGATGGGTTGCTGGGATAGTGCTTGTGTGTGGGTGTGGCCGAGGGGGGAGTGGGGACTGTTGGAATTGGGATGGGGACTGGACTTATGTCAGCGTGTGTTGAGTAGGGTAGGTAGAGGAAGGGAAGCTGGGATGATGTGGTTATGAGGTTGGAGTCAGTTGGAGATGGGAATTAGTCACTTTGGAAAACACTGGATGCTCGTCTTCCCTTGATGATATGCCCAGGTGTAATATAGTATGCATGTGTTTTGAGATAGTAATGCGCTCGCTGACTGCGATGAATGCCTTGCGCTGCTCTCGAGTCACTCCCAAGTCCTCGTATCGAAGTCAAAACTTGCGTTGCAAGTAATAATGCTGTTCGTAAACGCAACGCAACGCGGTCCAGTGTCTCTTCAACTCCCAAGAAAGAACTCCAGCACCAAACCTCTCGAATCCCACGCCCCATTCACAATGCCCCATTTCCACCCTACCCTCAACCGTCCTCTCAACTCATCCCTCACCCTCCCCCAAACCCCCTCACCTCCTCGCCTTCCAACTCCCATCTTTCCGGATATCATAGTCTGCGCCTCACTCGTCAGCCCCATCTCCTCATGATTCCACACAATACCGCCAACAAGATCCTACTCACCAATATCCACCTCCGAATCATCATCCTCAACAATACCCTGCAACCGCGCCTTGCGATCTCCGGTGCTTCGAAGTTGCGACCACTCTTTAAACGACCCGGGCTCGGCGAGTGCGTCCACGCTGTCCTCATCAGGCGGTGAGGGTGTGAGACTCATACGTCGCATGTCGTCTGGCAGGCGTGCGGATTCGATGTGGTCGGCCTCTTCAATGGCGAGTTCCGTCTCGAATTCTTCGGTCGAATCGAACATGTCTTGGATCTTGCCCTTTGCAGCGACGGCGGCGCGGCGCTTGATGAACTGCGGGATGGTGGCCTTCTTAACAGTCTTTCGAGCTGCGAGGCGCCTGGGCTCAGTGGGAGGGCGGGCAGCGGGTTTGGAAGGGATGGCCACGGTTTTGCCGAGAGTGGGAGCGAATTTGAAGCCATAGCCTTTTCTGCCCATGACTTTCTGCATGCGAGGCTTGGGTTTCGCAGCGACCTCAGCTCCGTCATTAGTCTTAGTCTTCTTCGCTGTATGTGCGTGCTTCATAGGCTTGGGCTGCTCGCCGTCAATCGGGGAGGCGTTCTCCGAGGGGGCGTAGTCCGACTGTGAGTCAGAGTCCTCGTCGCTGCTCATGCTGATCACCATTGGACGCTTACGAGACTGTGTGGCGCCGGTTTGTCTAGAGATAGCAGAGGGGCGAGACGAGGCAGAAGCACCTGGCTGATCACGAGGGCTGGCCGGGAGAGTGTAGCTTGACGCACGTGAGTCTGTAGTGCCGGCTCGTACGTGGCGAGCTCCAGCGGCGATGGGCTGACGGACTGTGCTAGGAGCAGCACTTGCTGGCAGACTTGGCATCTTGAAGCTAGGCGATAGTGTTGAGACATTATGCTGGCGATGTGCAACGGGCTCCGAGACTACTGAGGCGTGTGATGGCGGTGGGCTCGGAAGCTGTCTAGTCTGTTTTCGCGGAGTTTGAGCTTCGGCTCCGGTCGTAGTGAAGGGGTTGGCATTGCTAGAATCGACTCGCTCGAACTGCGGGGGCTGGATTGCTGGGGCTGATGACGATGATGGGGAGACTGGTATTGAGTTAACTATAAGGTGCTGAGTTGGCATAAAAGAAATCTTACCTTCAGTGGCCTCAGACATAGGCGCATCATGCATTTCGACATTCGTCTTTCCGACCGCTCCATCATAATGACTGCCCGGTACGTCACTGTTGTGGCTACTCTGCCGAACACTGTCATCCCTCAATACAACTGAGCGCTCGCGCTGCTGATTCCGTGTCCCAAGATTGGCCCATGGAAGCGACTTGGACTCAGACGCAGGTGACAATAATCGAGGTGAAGGCCACTTCTGAACAGGAGAGGATGCACGAGGAGCTACACTCGCTAGGCGACCCGTGACGCCTACCGATGGTCTGTCCGTCGCAGCGTTACTGTAGAAAGGCGATGAGCCAAGGGGCGCATTCGGCATCGCGCTTGCAACTCTGTTCATGAAGCCCGCTGTCGAGTGATCTGGACCTGGAACACACGATGGTGCGCGGGAGCCGAACATCCTAGGTGACCCGAACTGTCGTGTCGCCGTAGAAGCTCGGTGCGGTGAAGGTGAAGCAGGTTCTGGGTCAGGCGTCTTGGGAGTCGACATGTCCATCTTCGCGAAGGGGCTTGCAAGGTTCGGGCTGCTGAATTCATTTTTGATGGTTGTTCGAACGGGAGTGGACTAGATTTCACTGTTAGTAAGCGTGTACATGGCAGATAGAGTAGTCGAAACATACAAAGGCCTTCGACGAACTGCCACCGAACAGCTCAAGAGTAGCTTCAGGAATCGAGAAAGGATCGCTTGACTGCACCTGACCCCCATCGATGGCCATGGCATCCTCGATGGTAGCATTTCGGGCGTTTGATGGTTTTGCAGCCGGCTTCTGGGCAGTCTTCTTTTGCACGATTGGCTGCTTCTTGGTGACATTCGGATCGTCGTCATCGTCAGAGCAGAGGTCGATAACCTCAGGCTGGCCCGAATTACGATTCAGGCCCGCCCGCTGTGTCGGTCTCTTCGGAGCAGGTGGCACATCCGCATAGCGTGGGTGTTGAGTTGGTCGCGCAGGGGTGACAGGTGGCCGTACCGACATTCGCGGAGTCGCTGGGCGGGAAGCTGGTGGAGCAATCTTCTTGGACGGCGCTACACTACCTATTGGTGTTTGTGTGCGAGCAAACTTCGCCTTCGTTCCGGCTCTTACAGCCCCAGTCTGTGTGTTCTTGCTCCAGAATTCACTCTCTTCCTTGCTGTGCAGTGCGAGCAAGTCCTTCCTCTGACGATCGACTCGAGCCTCGAACTCCTCTCGGTTTCGATTGACCATGGCTTGGAATGTGTTGGACTCATTCTGGTGCTTCTGGCGGAGCTCGAGCCACTTGGGATTGACCTCCGGGGAGACGTCTTGCGCTGATGGGGTCATGCTGAGCTGCTGAATGCCCGCAATGTGTTGGGATGATGTTGCGACGATGTCACCAAAATGCTTGGTTGATGTGGAGATAATAGAGGCGTTGAGAGAAGTAGAGTCTAACAACGAGAGAGGTGGCGGCTCAAGGTAGTTTATACTGAGGCGTGGGCGCTAATACAGGTGAAGGTGGCGGCCAAATACCTGGTAAAGGCAGATCGGCGGTGAGCGCCAAAGTTGGTAGTATCCAGGTGAGAGAGACGACTGTGCCGGCTGCAGCGTTTGAGAAAGAAGGCTCATTGCCTGTGGGGTAAATAGCCAAGGTGACCTGTAAACATTTGTGGAAAATGGAATGTGTTATAGGATGATTCAAGAAAATATGAAGGGTAGGTTTAGGAAAGAGGTGCACCATTGGCAGGCACAAACACCGCGAGATATGACATCTCCAATATGGTTTGTCCACGAAAGCATGAATTGTTTGTCCGTCCATGCGCCGAATCTGATGTAAAGGTATAATGACAAATAGTATACACTCCAATTGCCCCACGATCGTCTAGAAACCAGGAGGATTGAGTCTCTGGCTGACTCTCGTCCACTTCGGTACCTCTGCTTGATGTTAGCCATGTCTTATGCCTCTCCAACACACGCTCGGTCTTCAACGTACTGTGTATTCCCTTCCTATACCTCTTGACTTTGCGGTCAAAGACGGAGTATTTGTCCTTTGGCAGCATCTCTTCCTCGGTCGGCATCTCGACTTTCCACCTCTCCACCTTCTTCATGCTTTGTCCTTTTCGTGCGAGCGCATTATCGAGAGTTGCAACTATCGAGTCGACATGACGGAGACGCTCGCGCTGGCGGTACTTTTGGTGTCTGGACAGGCGCCATGGGACTTTCCTGTAGAATGTTAGACCTGCATCGTCGTATGGAGGCGCTGGAGGGTGGCAATTGTGCGCAATTGCACGTATCACAGGACACGTACCATAGCAGACCGCCCGATAGCGGATTTGTGAGACGAAAGGCACCGAACATCGTGGCCGTGTGCGATTGCGATGCTGGACGTCGTGTGCTTCACGATGTGATGTTCTGAAAAGACTCCCGCGGACTTTCTTGGCATGCATCCATGCTAGCGTGGGGAAGCTCACTACTCCACCAACATTCCGCGACACCAATACCGAGCTTCACTACGGACTGGACTGCGAAAAGCTGGGACGCAGAGGTCACAGGGCGAATGAAGAAATAGCGTGGAACCAGATCACTGAAGACAACCTCAACACGACCACCCGACCAGCTCCTACGACACACCCACCTCGCACCCACCCTCAACCTCCCCGCAAACACACCCCCCACAGGCCAAAATGTCCTACACATTTTCCATCCTCTCCCCCCTCGACGTCCCCCTCTTCACCCACGACTTCGGCACCTCGCGCTCCGGCGGCGACGGCGTCGCGCGCTACACGCCCTCCGAGCGCGCCATGGTACCCTTCATCCTCCACTCCTCGCTCGACATAGTCGAAGAAGTGCAATGGGGCCCCTCGACCTCCTCAGGCTCGGCACCCATGTATCTCAAACACATCGACAAGTACCAAAACAGTTTTGTGTCGTGCTGGATCACGGGCGGAAACACGCGCTTCCTCCTACTCACCAGGCCGCGGGATGAGAGTCTTGGGCTGGTCAGTGGGGGAGGGGCGAGCAAGGGGAGTTTAGCGGGTGGAAGGGCGGCGATGGGGAGTGGGGGTTTGTACAATCCGAGTGCGCCGGCGACGGAGGAGGCGGTGAAGAATTTCTTCGTGGATGTGTATGAGGCGTGGTTGAAGACTATTATGAATCCGTTCTTTGCGGTCGGGAATGGCGATGTGGTTAAGAGTCCGGTCTTTAGGCAGAGGGTGGCGACGGCGGCGAAGAAGTATCTTTGAAGAGGGGATGAGATTGGGATATTGGTTATGAAAAGAGCTGTGGAATATACAGTGTCGTGGCACTGACACTAGTACTGGAAAATATAATGCGTCTGCTGCGGTCGTTGGGTAGAGCTCGGCACGGATATGTCGTACAGCAACGTACTACCAGCGCCGTATGTTGGAGCTGCACGATCAAGGCAGCAATCGAGGAATGGTGAGCCGCACTCGGAGGAAGAACCGCTACATAGTGTAAGAACGAGCTCATGGGCATGATGAAATGCTGATTCACAAGGTAGCTTCGCAGTGAAGTACAAGAATGATTAATGAAGCCACGACTATGAACACATCAAGCACGCCACGGAACAAAATGGGAACTGTCAAGCCTATCAAAACCTTTGCATGGACCGTGTAGAAATTACTAGTCTGAGGATATCAAGGACCCAACCTAATCCTCCCTTCATCAAGAGCTCCGTCCATTCTCTACCTGACCTCCATTCCTGCCGCACTAATCGCCTCTTCCGTCGCCCGACTCTGCGTTCCAGCCTTCCTCTCTCCAAAGTTATGTAACCGCTCTCCGATAAGATACACCTCATCCCTCACTACAAGTCTCCAGCGCGTCAACATCCTGACCGCCTCTTTGCTCGCCCACATGGCCACGATGCTGAGTCCGACAGCTGGGAAGCTGAAGCGCCAGACCATGTTACGCGTCTGCTCGGACGCTCCAGCGTACATGGTGTAAGATGTCGTGTATGCAAGTGAAGAGGGAACAGCAATGGCGATGAGCCACAGGGCTGCGATTGGAAGTAGGAAGCAGCGCGTTGCGATGCGTGCATTGGGGTAGAGGTATCCGTCAGCGATGACCGCATTGAAAGCTCGGGCGGGACGAGACTGGCGATTCGCAAAGATCATCTGAGCAGCAACGCGCGAGTACAAGAAGCCTAGGCTCCAGTCTTGGATGAGGTGCACAACGTGGGGTTCTCCGGGGCCCAGGTAGGCATGTAGTGGCATGAGGAAGTAAAGTTCAATGAGGATAGCGAATGCGAGGGGAATAGCGAATACAAGACCGAACCAAACGTACGTGAAGCGAAGGACACGCAGGCCGACACGGGAAGTTGTGGTGGCGATCGTTTGGAGTGTTGCGAGTGGTGACGGGACCGGCTGGTTGAGGCTCGAGATGAAATTGTACGCGTGGTAGCCAGAGTAAGCGATACTGCCCAGTGTGTACACGCCAAGCGAGAAGGCGTGTATATCGTTCATCTCGACTGTATCTGGGAGTACGAGAGAGAATAGATACCGACCCAGGAGCATAGGCAGAATTGTGACACCAACGCCACTCAGACCCATCAGTATCCATATTGTGATGACGAATGCGAAGATGCGAACACGGAACCAGTTCGGAATGTAGACCATGGTCACCAGATCCGAGTTGTGGACGCCGCCCACAGTGACTCCATCTCGGCGCACGTTGTTGTGATCGACATCAACAAAGACAGGTTGACCTTTGGGAATGCGGGCTTGATCCGATGCAGGAGCACGGACATATCGACCGTTCTTTGGTGCCCCGAAGGCAATCGTGCCACCAAAGAGGAAACTGTGGAGCTTCAAGATGCGAGCACATTTCATGAAGCACCATTTGTATATGGCATGTATGCTGTCGCTCGGCTTGTACGCCTTGATGATAACAGGAGTCAAGAAGTTGATAGAAGAGGAGATCCAATGGAAATTCAAGAGATGGAGCCTCGGTCGTCCAATGGATTGGGAGCACACCAGATGTTGCACGGCTAAGGGTCCAGACAACACCTCCAAGGCAGACAATGACCAGTGCGCCATACACCAAAGCGCTGAATGCTATCTTGCGCAGCTGAGTAGTGACACTGCGCTCGAGAACGTCGCGGACGGGATGGAACGTCGGATCGTCTGGATCGCGAATAAAGTAGAGTACGCCCTTGCGCATGATCTTGCGGCACATAGAGACGAACAATGCGAAGTGGAACATGTAACAGGTGCCAATGAACCAATGTACGAAGCCAGATGTCCATGGACTATTACAAGCAAATTGCCAGCGAGTATAGAGGGTAGCGTTCTTGAAGAGTGGGAGCATGGCGAGATCGAGGAGAAGACCACAGTACAGTGGAAAAGCCAGCATCTCTATGCTGATGATCAAGATGACCTTGAGCACCCCACCGGCTTGTTGTAGAACATCAGAAATGATGCGCTCGATCCTCTGACCCTGTTGCGAGGTGCTGAAAGATGATCCGCGTTTGAGGTATACAGCGCCAGCCACTGCAAAAGAGGCGTAGCCAGCGAAGATGGCGACCATGCGATCACTGGCTGTCCAGCGCTCCACTGCAGTGTAATCAGCAGTTGCACTGTGGCCCAAGTCCACATCAAGAGTGATCTTGTATGATTTTGAGGTCCAGATGAAAGATACTAGGCTGCTGAGATGAGTGTATAGCCATACCACTCCAATCTGGAGGACCTGGGGTAGTCCGGAAATGGTCCTCCATAGGAATTTGATAGGGGAATCGGAGGACGCCTGCTCCAGGAACGTATTTGCAAAAGCACTCGTTTCGTTCAGCGCAGCTGATGTAGAATTCTGGAGTGCCCGCAGTGCCATATGGGAGTTGACCGATAGTCTGAAATAGTCCGGCCGGGGTGTCAACGGAGACTGTACAAACACCTTCGCAATACGATCCATGGCGCCCTCTGCAAGAGTTCGCATGGTGGCCGACATGGAGGCCAGCCGACTGTCCACAGACTGAGGGAAATTGCCTTTCGCACAAAGATGTACAGCCGTCGAGACTAGCTGTGAACCCCAATACGTAATGCCAGCCATGACCACTAGTGCAAGATCTACAATCAGGTCCGTCACCGTGGCAATGAGCTGCAACGGGAGCTTGACAAGAAGTGCGACAGGGCTGCCCATGAATAGAATGACTACTTTGCCCCACAGGTAAGGCAACCATACGGCGCAGGCCAAAGTGGCGGAGATCAGCACTGCACTGAACAGGACATTCTGGAAAAGTCCAATGATTGGACCTTGCATGCCAATGAGCTCAAGGATACCTTCAAGGTCCTCTGCGTCTTCTATTGCTTCTTGGTCGTTGACATCGATGCCAGCTCGGGCAGCGGCAGCAGCAACGTCAGGATCCGGGGCTGGAGGCTCAACGGGAACTTGTGGCTCATTCCCTGCAAAAGGCACAAACGGAGCCTCGTCCGCAAGGTCGCGAACTACGTGCTCGTCGTTTCTGGGCTCTTCCGCTGCAGGTACGGCAGGTGCAACGTCACCAAACATCCATTCCAACGCCTGATCTATCACACCTGGCTGTGGCTGTGGCAGCAGAACAGCTCCAGCCTGAGGCCCAGACGTCTCACCCGAAGTTGGAGCGGCGGTAGCCTCTTCTTGACCTGACTGTTCTTCCTCAGAGTCTGGAAAATCGAAAGAGGCCTCTGACCCTTGTTGCGACTTTGCAGAAGAGGCGTCGATGTCGGAAGTCGTCTCTACCGCGTTCGCAACTGGTGTATGCAGGTCGTTGTTCTCTTGAAGATCAGGCTCGGATAGAAATGCGCCCGTTTCATCATCGGCTTTGGCCTTGCCCTTGTCTCGCGACCTACCTCCTTCCAGCACTTGGTCGGAGTCGGTATCTGCGACAACATCGGCAACTTGTTGCCAGCTTTCACCACTATGCTCACTATCTTGCCCCTCTGCGTCTTCAGGATATTCGTCCTCCCAAGAGTTGGGAATGTCAACTGTCCCAGCATTGGTGCCTTGCGGTCTCTGTGGAACGTTCTCGAACGACCAGTCGTTGCCCTCTTCTAGGCTGCGCCGAATCCCAGTGGCAACAAATGACTGGTCCCTTTCTGGCATAAGTGGTCTTTGTGAAGATTCAAGCATTCTGGATGATTCAGCATTACTAGCTTCAGTCGTCGGCTTCGCAGATTGAAGTGAGTTGCTTCCGGGTGGTGCGTTGACTGCGTCGCGAGACGATTCTCCAGCTTCATGGTCAGAGGAGCGAGGGTTGTCCCGTCGAGCGACTGTGTTCGCAGGTCTGAAGAGATCATCTGGGTCTCTGGGGGCGGGTGCAGTATCCGTAGTCTGAATGGCCTCATAGTGAGCTGCCTGTGCTGCCTCATTATCGTTATCGTCATCATCGCTATCCTCCTCTTCCTCGTCATCATCTTCATTGTTGTCCTCCGGAACATTCTGGGCCCCCGCTTCATGATCTGCAGCCAGTTGTGCAGCCGCATTGTCGCGAAGTGCAACCATGTTGATCACTGGTTGTTGTTGGACGACCCATTCCCGAATAAGGAATATCAATATGAATGCCACAACGACTAGTAAGGTAATGATTTGACCTTCTAGCACATCGATGATGAAACGGTTTGCAGTCTGCGAATCGAACCAGTTGAAGAAGGGCACGTCCGACAATAAAGAAGGACTTCGGATACCAAGCGGGTCGGAGGTCGCGTTAATGGACGTCTGGTTGACATGGGGTACTGATAGGGACGCGAGTGGCAATGGAAAGCCAAAGAGCAGGCGCTTAGTAAAAGTCCAGACGGCAAGCTCGGGGGCCGATGCGTTATAGGAACCGAATGGCACCGAGAGGAAAGAATCCGACGATGAGCGGCTCTCGTTAGCAGCAGTGCTGATCTTGTCGGCTGGAGCGCGAAAGGCACTCATGTTGAAGGAAGTGAGCCTGGAGTTCTCTACTGCCTCTGTCGACTCCAAGTACATGTCATGCGACCATCCCCCGTCACCGACCCAGAAAAGGCTTCGCCAGACCACGCGCATACACCACGGAAGGACGAGCAGCCAGACGCAAGCGACCAGTACCGCCCGACACCAGGTCAGGAACATGTTGACGACGTGCAGGGCGGCACGGCGCATGAAGACGGCGGTCGGGATGCGGTTCGGCATGCCTGGGTGGTAGAGCTTGGTGAAGCGAAACGAAGTCTTGCACAGCTCGCAATGCTTCTTCTGTGTATGGGACAGCCACTCCATGAGGCACTCCTGGTGGACATACTTGATGCTGCCACTGCACTTGCACGGGTAGAACAGAGGCTCGTCCACAGATCCCTCACCACGGCATATGCGGCATGAGTCTGCGTCTTCTTTGTCGGCGGTCTTGGGTCTGGGGTCGTCTTCTTCATGGGTGAGGGACGCGTCGGTGGCTTCAATAACTGTGTCGTGCACTTCATCGAGACGGTGCGCATGCGCGGATACAGCGTCGTCCGTCGCCATATTTGGTGGACTGCCAGGTCGTGACCTAGGCTGATGTGTTGCGGTGGCAAGAAATTGGTTGGGGGTGTGGGCGGAGGTCCGCGGTTGGGGTGATTCAAGAAGGCATGTAGAGGGACCGCGGAGCTGCTAGCTATTTTGTACGGCGAGGCGTGGGTCGGTATAGAATACGACGGTGAGCGGCGTGGGTCGTGAAGGCGTAGTATTAGGTGCCAGATAGGGTGAATGGTATGTATACAGAGAAGGCGCAACGAGGTGTTGGTCGGCGGTGCAAACGCGGCGCCAGCGCGGAGGTGGTGATGTCCACGGGCGGGTCGCCGCTGCCGGAGTTGGTTTCTTGGCACCGAGAGCTTCTACCCGTCTTCCTCGCGCCATAATAATGAAATATGTCTGATAACTTATGGACAATATCTTCTTAGTGCGCCCTGTAGGCCCTCAAGGGTTTTGCGGGCGCTGAACCAAAAGTCTCATGCGCGCGTATACATCCTGGACACGTCGGCACAAGATGGTGCACGGCAGGAGCACGCGAGACCCTGGCAAGAGCGACCCGACAGGCATTATCTGAAGCACGTCGCGAAGCAGCCTGGACTGTGAGGTGATGGCCACCCGTCCAGTCGTACACACATCTCAACAAATATCTGGCCTCGCGCCCACATCTGACCTTGACACAATCCCAGCCTATCAAGCTGTGCCGCAAGCTTTCGTTGCCTTGTTCTCGTTGCTCTTCCCGCGTTCGCACGTGCGATTACATCACTGACGTGCCTGGCTCGGTTGCGCAGAACTCCAGGCGAGCGATCGAATTATTAGCCCTCAACACCAGTGCCATCTTTCACGAGCCAGCGCTGCAAACACTTGTTACCTGCCAGACAGACGCGCATTTAACGTATGCCCAACTCCTTGGGTTCTTGCTGATAGCTCGCTGACACCCTCCAGGCAATACTGAACGTCCACGCACGTCACCGCGATACATAGACAAACACGCGAGCAGCCGCTGCCAGACAATGGCTGCCCAGGCCAACGGTCGGGCCAAAAAGCCTAAGAAGGCGACGTCTACGCCGAATGGGGCGTTGAACGGTACAGCACATATCAATGGCAACGCCGACAAGTCACAATCCTTAGCCATACGATCAAGGAAACCACGGAGAACCATGACGGGCGCTGTCACAAGCATAGTCGCAAGGTACGCGATCTAATACCAAGAGAGATACCAATTTCGTTTTGATGAGGCCATGGACGTTCTCTTGCGTGTTGCAGAGTATGCTGACAGATATTCAGGCTGGTGACATGGTATCTCATCATCACCATGGCCTTTAGGTGCCCATCGTCTTTGACAAAACTGGACGGTTCCTCGCCTCGAGTGTGTGCGCCATACCTGCAAGCACGCTCCTACGCCGCCCCATACCTAGATCCCTACTATCAGACCTATGCAGCGCCGTACGTCGAGAAGGCCAAGCCGTACGCCGACCGATTCGAGAAGCAGGTCTACACCCCAGCGGCGAAGTTCACTGCCGATAAATACGCGACCTATGGCGCACATAGGGTCGAGCAAGCGAAGAAGTATTCCAACGCACAGTGGGACAAGTCAGTCCGACCTCAGCTACAGACGGTCCAGGACAAAGTCAAGGGCCAGTACGACCTGTATCTTGGACCTCACGTCAAAACTGCCTCTGACGCTGCTGCGCCCTACTACGACCAGGCAAAGGCCAGCCTGGAAGAGATTTACCACCTATCGGTTTTGCCCGCGTACGAGGCTTCCCTGCCTTATATGCGCAAGGCTCATACACACGGTCACCACGTGGTCGTCAACTACGTGTTCCCCTATGTTCGCTCGGTCAAGGACGCGACCTTTGCTTTCCTGGTGAGGACTGTATGGCCTCAGGTGCGCGTGCTGTACGGAGACAATGTCGAGCCGCAACTGGTTCGCATATCCGAACGCTTGGGACGCTACCGTGATCAGAAGAAGGTTGAGTCTGTCGTTAATAGCATCGAGTCTGACTTGTAAGTCTTCGAGCGAGAGGGTGCCCTCTATGTACCCCTCCTAACTTGCTACAGCACCACCACTACCGAGTCCACCACAGAGGCACCCGCTATGACAGTTTCCGAAGCTGCGCCAGTTCCAACCACCAAGTCCGGCTGGGGCGTGTTTGACGACCTCTTTGGAGCTGATCCGTCTTCTTCCACGGCCTCTGACGGGGTTGAAACCAAACCGTCTGCTACAAGGCCTGTCAAGTCCCAGCCGACTGGCGAAGAGCTTAAGAAGATGCTCAACGAAGATCTACGGAAGTGGCAGACGAAGTTTGCCACGGCTGCCGACAAGGGCTCCGAGGATTTGGAGCAGCGCGTTGCTGAAATCACAAAACGACAGGTCGAGAGTGGTGTCAAGGGCCATGGCCGCGCGCTTGTCGTAAAGCTGGAAGAAACTGCCGACTCGACCGTCGCGAGCCTCAAGAGCTTCATCAAGCGTACTGTAGAGTCAGTTCCCGAGGATGCTACGGACGAGGACCTTGAGGCGGCGCACGCGAAATGCAGCGCGAAGACACGTGAACTGGGTCTCTCGGTAAAAGAGAGGGCTCAGGATGTCCGCGCCTGGAAAGCCAACTACGATCAAGAGACTGATTCTCTGGTGAAGGCAGCCGTCAAAAGCACTGTTGTAGTGCTTGACAAGATCCATGGTCTTGGTCTGCAGGAGGTAGGCATGCGCTGGGCTTGGCTCGATGGCGTCACTTACCAGGACTGGCAAAATTACCACAAGCTGAGAACTACCCTTGATGAGTGGCAAGCTGAAGTTGAAGCTGTTGGCTCGCAACACGACGGACTCCGCATAGCTCACGAGGAGGCCAAGAAGCTTGAGGACGAGGCCATGGAAGCCTCCACCAGGATGGTCAGCGAGCTCATCCGTTTAAAGGACGTCGCGAAGTGGAAACTGTGGGCTAACGATGCTACTGATGACTTTTCGAATAAGCCTGTACCAGCTCGTGTGTATAAGGCTGCGCAACAGGTGTCATCTCAGGTGTCTGAAGCTATCCAGGGCTCATCAACGCCCATCAGCGAAAGCGTCGCCTCCGCCATTAGCTCTGCCTCATCTCAAGCCTCGGAGGCTATCCAGGCTGCACCATCGCACGCGTCCGAGGCAGCAAGCAGCCTGTCCTCTGGAGCCTCTGAGGCTATTCAGGGCTCATCAACACCTCTGAGCGAGAGTGCCGCTTCTTCTATCGAATCGCTGTCATCTCAGGCCTCTGAGGCGCTCCTGGGTAGCGAAACGCCCATCGCCGAGAGTGTGGCCTCGTCGGTCTCAAGCGCCGCTTCTGCGGCGTACGAGTCGCCAAAGAAGGTTTTTGGTGGAGCCAACGCTCAAATCCTCGCGGAAGCCAAACAGGTCATCTTCGATGAGCCTCTCGACGACGGCGACGACGACGATGATACTGTCGCGAAGTACTCCAGGAAGCTGCAAAATGTTGTCGCAGATGCTGGAGACCGTGCAGAAGAATTGAGCCGTGCTGTCAGCGAGGCCCTTCTAGGTGCAACCAAGACCCAAGGAACCGTCGAATCCGCCACTTCTCTGGCCAGTGAACAATATGAGAGGGCCTTAGCAGCTGCCTCCAGCGTGCTCTACGGTACTCAGCAGCCAGTCGTGGAAAGTGCCACCAGCGTTGCATCGGAGCGATTTGCCCAGGCCGTCACCGCCGCCTCCTACGCCATGTATGGCACTCCGACCCCAACAGCAATCATTCACACAGTCCAAGTTCAGGTATGTGTTTCGAACGTGCCTGAGTATCTCCACGACACTTTTGCGAAGCAAAGGCAGATAATGTTGTCGTGGAGTGCTCTTGGTCTACCTAAGTGCGATGCTGACTATATGTTCTAGGCAAGCTCTCGTTACAGCGACGCACTGCGTCTGGCTAGCGAACAGTACGAGAACGCCAAATCGCAGGTTTCCGTTCTTGCCTCTGGTACACCGAAACCCGCCCATGAATCGCTGCTGTCATACTTCGAGAAGGCGTATAGCGATTCTGTTGATGTTGCAAGCGAGCGTCTATCCGCGGCTTTGCAATACACCGATTCTGTGAAGAGCTACGCGGCTGGCCCTACACAGGGCTACTTCGAGTCAGTCTCATCCATTGCGTCGTCTCGCCTGTCGGATGGCCTAAGTCAAGCTTCTGCCCAGTTCAGCCAACCCACTGGTGGCGCATCGCGTCAGTACTACGAGGCCATCGGACTGGCTCATGCACGCTACTCAGAGTTTGTTGGTGCTGCATCAAGCGCGGTGTATGGCTCTCAGCAAGGTACCGTGGAATCTCTGGCGTCTGTAGCCTCGGCATCCGCAGCATCATTGGCATCTGGAGTATCAAGCTCAGCTCAATCTATCGCCTCCCAAGTAAGCTCGGGTGTAGTTGGCACTGAGACCCCATGGTCCGAGTCAGTCGCCTCCCAGGCCAGCATCAATTGGGAGAGCCTCATCGCTAAAGCCAGCGATCAAGTTTACGGTACGCTCCCAAATTTACTTTCCTTCCAGGGAGTTGTAGAGCACTTTGCGCCACTTTCACGCAAACATCGCGTATTGAATGCGGTGATGTGTTCCAACTCTGTCTAACACGCGTTCATGTTCGCGCTTCCTTCTGCAGGAATTGATTACTGACTTATCTCAGGCAAACCCACACCTTGGGCAGAATCTGTGTACTCGCAGGCCGGTGCCTATGGTGCTCAAGCCACTGTCGCTGCCGCTCAGCAGTATGCCGATGTCTCGGCGCTCATATCAGAGCTTGTCATCGGCAAGGAGCCCGCATTCACTGAGAGCATCATGGTCCGCTTGTCCTCGGCATACTATACCGGTGTCCCAGCTGCTGTTCAATCCGTGCAGTCATATGCTGAGGACAATTTCGATGCCGCCAGTTCCTACGCCGCGGATGCTTACTCCTCTGCATCATCGGTTGTTAGCTCCATCTTCACACCGCCTGCAGCCATTGAGACCATATTGAGCCAGGCCAGCGCACAGCTCGATGCCGCTGTGGACAGTGCCTCCATCGCCGTTTACGGTACACCCAAGGGTGCGGCTGAGCAGGCTAGCGAGTCTGTCGCGAGCGCGTACTCTTCGATACAGTCACAGATCAGCGTGAAGGTCTACGGCACCCAACAGGCCCAGGATAGTTTCACGTCTGCCGCAGCTAGCGCACAGCAGGCTATTAGTCAGGCAATCTTCGGCACTCCCACAGCAGGAGATTACGTTGCTTCAGCCACCAGCGGCGCAGGTAATGTGTACTCGTCCATTGCATCGGTTGCCAGCGAGAATGCAGACTACGCATATTCTGCTGCTAGCGAGCAAGCTTCCAAGGTCGCATCCGCCGCCAGCTCTGCCATCTACGGACCTGAACAGGGCGCCATGGAGTCTGCCAGCAGCCGAATCGCCCTCGCGGTCGAAGCTGCCAACTCCCGCATCAGCGAAATCTACGCCCAGGCTTCCAAGGGCGCCGAAGGTGTTGCCAGCACAGTGAGCAGCGCCGCCACCCAGGCCACTCAGCGCGTCAAGGACGAGTTGTAAACGCACATCTAAGACCTTTCTACAAAGGTCATTGACTAGCGTCAGTAACCAATCAATCGACAACATCGCTCACGGTCTGCAATAGACCGTTGAAAAAGGCGATATTACCCATCTCCCCACCTCCAAGACCCCCAAAGGAACACGTCTACATACGTTCCTGCATCACCACCACTACAGAAAAGTTCACGCCATCACTATCATCCCCCGCCCTACCATCATTCCCCCCCTGAAACGAGGTCTTCAATGTTCCAATATCCCCAGTGTATGTTTATGCATCTCTTTTCCCCGCCTTGTTAGTCTTGTCGGGATTATAGCTATGCGATCGAATGGAATGGAGGAGAGCACAGGCTGATGAAATATATACCCTTTTCGATTCTTTTGAAATCTTGCATGTGCTCTTTCTATACATGTCATGTGGACAGACGATGATTCGTGATGTTTTGCCATTGCTTGTGTGTGTGTGGTATTTTGCTACATAAAGTTGTGTTGTGTTTGTTGTGATTCCGTGACTCATGTCTATCTTCCCCAGTCCACATACTTTCGTTGGATATCCTCCGCTTTCTGCTGTACACTGTACATTCTCATCGTCAAAATTCGCTGCCCAGTTGAATACCCAAAAACGCCAGTCAAATGCCCAATTTCGCTCAAACCATCAAAGTCAGATATACACAGTCGTCTAATCGCTATCGCTCAAACTGTCCCTCCGGCCAACAGCCCTAATCTCACCGCGCCTGTATCCCGCCATGACGTCGCGTCCTCCCCTCTTTGCACCAGCCTGGCTGACGCTATCGCTCACCGCGACACTGCCGGCGGTCGAGAGACCGGGGATGTGGCACGGGTAGCTCATGTGGCCCTGCGCCTCGCCGTTGGTCATGGTGAAGATGTCGGAAGCGGGAGCGGGCGCGTATCCCGAGCGCGATGGGCGCGCAGTAGATGAAGGGCGGGACTTCTTGACGGGCGACTGGGATGTAGGACGGGAGCGCGATCCAGCAGGGCGGGGACGCGAGGCGGAGCGCGAAGTGCGGTCTGCCGTGCGGGAGGCGTAGAGGGTGGGGTCGGCGTTGGGACGGTAGTCGGAGTAGTAGGAGGATTCCTGGTCGTTCGAGTAGATGGTGGACGGGACGGTGCGTTCGGTCTTGGTGGTGCGCTTAGTCTCGTTGCGAGGGGGAGTGGCATCAGTGTAGGCTCCGGAGTAGACGGTGTTGGTGTCGTCGCCCGTGGTGAAGGAGTATGCGGCAGAGGGAGGAGCACGGCGGCCGCTGGGCTTCTGCTGTGTCTTCTCGGGCGTGCCAACTTCAGACGGGGCGGTGTACTCGGTGTAGGCGGGTCCAGTGTATTCGGTGAGGGGACGGGTGACTTCAGCCATTTCGGGTGCTTCGGAGCCCACTTCGGACTTGGTCTTCTTGTTCTTCTTGTAGGCTTCCTTCTCGCGCTTGATGGCGGCCTTTTGGGCTTCCTTGCGGGCTTTGGCGTCGGCGGCGGCAGTGGCTTTGGCTTCCTTTTCAGCGGCCTTGGCCTTCTTCATGCGTTCGCGAGCGCGCATTTCCTTTGCCTTGGCTTCCTTCTTGGGGTCCTTGTTCTTCTCAGACTTCTTGACGAGAGGGGCGCTGGAGACGTTGGAGCCGAGTTCAGAGGGTTGGGAGCCAGAGTAGTCAGTGTACATGCCGTCAGCCTGGCGGTTCAGACCACCAACGCGAGCAGCCTTCTCGTGACGGTAGGCACCAAGGTCGGGGTCGTTGTAGTCGTTGGTGTGGTCGCGGCGGCCCTTCTTGTCCTTGCGCTCACGACGGCCATCGCCGCCACGAAGTCCATGTTTGCCCTCTTCAGCATCGCGGTAGTCGTTGACGTCGGCATTGGTGGCCGTCTCTTCGGTCCAGCCAATGCTGCTCTCGGGAGCGCCGTAGCTGCCTCCGTGGACAACACTGCCTCCGCCTAGACGGGTGCTCTTGGTGGCGTTGGATAGTGTCTTGCCGTCTGGGCCCTTGCGGCGCAGCACGGTAGATTTGTAGTCCTCCCAGTCGTCCTTTCCGCGGAATTTGAAGCCACCGTTCTTAGCCCAGAAGAAGAACCAAATGGCGGTGAGGGTCATGCCAACACCGATGAGGGCGAACAGAGCCTGGAAGCCGGGGCCCTTGAGGTCGTTGGGGTCTTTGGCACCGGCTGAGGCGAGCTGCACGTAGGCCTCGTTGGCACGCTTGACGATTGTCTTTGCCACCGAGAGGTCGCGGATAGCCATGGGCGAGAGAGCCGCCTCTTCTGGCGAGAGCTCGGGATGGGGCGCCATTGCGGGCGGAATGTGTGCGTGTGCAACCCAGGCAGGTGCAGGAATTGGTGTTGGTATCGGTCGAGGTGAACGAGTGCAACTGGCGATGTAGTCAGGTTATGATCGTAAGAATGGAGCAGTGGGTGTATGGGGAGAAGGGGGATTGTGGCTCCCGATACTTGTGGATGGTTGTGCTGGTCGTGGGCTGGGCTGGAGATAATCCGGGTGGCTGACTGAAGAGGTTGGGGCGCGACGTCACCCAAACAAACCGCTGCCACGGGCAACCGGCGTCCCTGCATCCCCCACGCAACCTGTCAACCACGCCTGATTTAGCGACAAGGGTCTTTTAACAGAATCCTGTTTGCAGACTGCCGAATTGATGTGGAACCCGCGTTTCATCGCTTTTCTGCTGTTGGATGCGAGAGCACAGCCAATCTGCGCTACTTTCTAGCCATGCGTGCATAGGCGCGACGCGACTGGACCACTACCGCGAGTCTCTTTTCTCGCGCTCCGTTCGTGAAGACCCTCAAAACACTACCCACCATATATGGCTCCGTCTCATCGATGCAGGCTGATACGACTGCTGAAGTCTTCTCGAGATGATTTTCTCGCAACTGACCTATCGGAAATAGCACTAACGTCGACATGCGTCCATCAAAGGGCGCAGTCTAGGCCACTACAGGTCTTAAGCATCGCATGTTGTAGCTTTTCCACACGCCAAAAGGCGTAGTTCCAGTAGCAGCACTAGTTAGTTTCTTTGTACGCAGACCCTACATAACAGCCCCAGGTGCCATCTATCCGGACGCTCAGCTCGTCAACTACACCACCTCGAGAGATGAGCACCACGACAGCGACGGTCCTCGCGGCCGACATTATGGAGATGCAAGCACCAGCAAACGTCTCCTCTCGCCCGCTCGGCAAACAGATCAGGACCTCATTGGACTCGCCATCCGCGAGCCGCAGTTCAGATATTGAGGTCTCATCTACTGACCAACCCCAAAAGCCATCCAATATCCGTACTTTCTTCACCATCTTTACACCAGCATTCGCAGGCTTTTGTGCTAGCTTCACAAATGGTGTCATCACCGTCGGTCTACCTGTCATTGCGCGGTCGATCTCACTGGAACGCTCGCTATATCTCTGGCCTTCGTCTGTATATGGCTTGACATCAGGTGCTGCTCTACTCATCGCCGGCTCAATTGCCGACATCGTAGGCGCGAGGACGATCGAACTGATCGGTATCACACTTCTTGGTGTCTTCTCGCTAGTATGCGGTTTCTCGCAAACAGGAGCTCAACTGGTCGCATTTCGTGCGCTTCAGGGAATAGCACTAGCTATGCACCTCCCTGCTTCTGTTGCCCTCATCACCGGCGCTGTCCCCTCTGGTAGAGCTCGAAACTTGGGTTTCGCATGCTTAGGCTTCAGTCAACCTTTAGGCTTTGCCATGGGTCTCGTTCTTAGCGGTGTTATGATCGAGAAAGCTGGATGGCGCTCCGGTTTCTACCTCTCAGGAAGTTGCACCCTTGCCATCGCTGTCGCCGCCCTCTGGACGCTGCCAAAACTCAAGACACAACATGAGGGCACGAAGGCTACATGGAAGAAGATGAAAAACGAAATCGATTGGATTGGCGGCCTACTCTCAAGCTCCGGCCTCGCTATCCTAGCATATGTCCTGGCTATCCTCAGCGCTGACCTGACCTCCATTCGCACTCCATTGACTCTATCCCTCCTGATTCTGAGTGCTATATTACTGACCGCATTCCCATTCTGGATGCGGTACCGTACTCTGCACAACCGCTCTGCCCTTGTCCCAAACAAGCTATGGCGCAACACCCCATTCACGGCCACCTGCATTATGGTCGCCATCTCTTCTGGCGTCATCAACTCTATCGAACTCTTCTCTTCACTCTATTTCCAAGAAATCCAACACGCCTCCACCCTCACCACATCGCTCTACCTTCTGCCCAATCTTGCAACGGGCGTCATTATCAACATCTTCGTCGGCATATACGTGCACAAGCTTCCGGCACGATGGCTCGTCACCATCAGCGCAGTCGTATGCGCACTGAGTCCATTGTTCATGGCGGTTATGAAGCCCACATGGAACTATGGGTACATGGCGTTTTGGGCACAAGTATTTGCGCCGTTCTCAGCAGACGTGCTGTACACAGTCGGTCTCATTATCGTTTCTGACAGCCTCCCGGAGGAGACGCAGGCATTAGCGGGAGCGGTCTTCAACACATTGTCACAATTTGGGATGAGTCTGGCTATGGGCAGTTGTCAGGTTGTTGCATTGGGGGTACAGGGCAAAGAAGACGGAAACACTGGAGCCGATGGAGACGGCGCGTTTGAACAATCGAGTGACGGGTTACTGAAGGGATACAGAGCGAGCTACTGGCTGATGTTCAGCTACATGGTGGTTTGCGTGTGCATCGCAGTGGTAGGTCTGAAGAAGGCAGGCACGGTCGGCTTGAAGAGGGAGTAAAAGTATGTTCAGTCAGATTTGACGTCGTTTCGGCAGAACCTCGTATATCGAACATCAATTCTGATGTCAGATGCTGTCAGTATCTACCAGCGCGTCGGTAGCGACATCAAGATCTCGTCGTCACAACCGGACCGTGAACCCCCACCATTCCCGCTCCGGCCATTTGCGCAACTCTCCCCGCACCTCATTGCACGTGCTCGCCACACTGACACTCTGTCAAGGTTCGAACACACTGGTATAGCCCTGCCATTCGTCGATTGGATGATTCATTGCTTATCTGACACCCTTGTAAAGCTTGCATTTGCCCCCCTTCCCTCGGTGCAATCTTCCTTCCAATAGCGCTTATTTCCACGCATGAAGTAAATACATATAGCACTGCAAAGACCTTGTACCATCTCTTTGGATTATATTGGATATATTCTTACCTCATCCATTACCCTGCTCTGCTACTTAGAGATGAATCTCATTATACTCCTTCCACTCTTCCTCTCTTCTGCTTCAGCCCTTTGGCCGAAGCCCGTCTCTTACACCCACGGCAATACTGTACTGTTCATTGAAAAAAGTGTTTCATTCCTTTGGTATGGCTCTGGCACACGCAATGTAGGCTCAATTGCAGATCAACACCCAGATCAACAACCTTTTGTATTTGTATCGAATTCTAACGATAGGTCCGAAACACAGGAACACTTGAAGCTCCGGAAACGATACACTGAAGTTTCATTGGACAGCCGATCTTCTAACGGGAGCCAAGCCGTATCGGGAGATGAGATTATCGACTATGCAATCAAGTCCGCGTACAGTACAATCTTCACGCAGAACTTTGTTCCTTGGAAGTACCATCCAAGAGGCTGGGAGGAACCATCGCCGGGAAAAACTGTTTCTGAAGTCAAAATCAATCTGCTCAAGAATGACCCGGAGAATGTCTCAAGACCCCTTGCTGGCGAAGTCGACGAGTCCTACACTCTGACTCTGACCGAAGATGGCAAAGCGACCGTCTCAGCAAACTCCAGCATCGGCATAGCCCACGGCCTGAACAGCTTCACCCAGCTATTCTACGCCCACTCTGACGGAACCCACGTCTACACCCCTCTGGCCCCAGTCTCAATCTCCGACGCCCCCAAATTCCAACACCGCGGCATAAACCTCGACGTCTCACGCAACTATTTCAGCGTCGCAGACATAAAGCGTCAAATCGACGCGCTCGCCTACAACAAAATGAACCGTTTCCACCTGCACATCACCGACTCGCAATCATGGCCTCTCGTCATCCCCTCCCTCCCTACCCTCGCTGCAAAAGGGGCTTACCGCCCGGACCTCGTCTACACGCCGCAGGACTTCGCGGACATCCAGCGCCACGCAGCCATCCAGGGCGTTGAAATGATTACCGAGATTGACATGCCAGGCCACACAGCGAGTATCTGGCATGCGTTTCCGGACCTGATTTCAGCGTATAATAAACAGCCGGATTGGTCGACGTGGGCGGCTGAACCACCCTCGGGAACGCTGAAGTTGAATTCCCCCGCGGTGTACGACTTCCTCAACACACTGCTCGCGGATCTGCTACCGCGTGTGGCGCCGTATTCGAGTTACTTCCACACGGGCGGGGATGAGGTTAACAAGAATGCGTACACGTTGGACGAGACGGTGGGGAGTAATGATACGGCTATCCTGCAGCCCCTAATGCAGAAATTCGTGGACAGGAATCACGACCAAGTGCGCGCTGCGGGGCTGACGCCGCTTGTGTGGGAGGAGATGTTGCTCGAGTGGAACGTGACCCTAGGCTCTGATGTGATAGTGCAGAGCTGGCAGAGCGATCAGGCGGTAAAGGACATTGTGGATAAGGGCCATAAGGTGCTTGTTGGGAATTATAATTATTGGGTACGTCCAGAAATCCGGCCTCCCACTTTCCCCCATCACGCATCAATTTTTTTCTGGAATGGTTTTGAGGTTAATGTCTTTTTGCCTTAGTACCTCGACTGCGGCAAAGGCCAATTCCTCGACTTCGCCCCCTCTTCAGCCGCCGGCTTCTGGCCTTACAACGACTACTGCGCGCCCTTCCACAACTGGCGCCTCATCTACTCCTACGACCCACTCGCCGGCATCCCAGCTGACAAACAGCACCTGGTACTCGGCGGCGAGGCGCACATGTGGGCGGAAATGACCGACCCTGTTAACGTCGACCGCATGGTGTGGCCGCGCGCGGCAGCGGTCGGGGAGATTCTGTGGAGCGGCGCGAAAGATGAGATGGGGCAGAATCGCAGCCAGATTGATGCGAGCCCGAGGCTGGGCGAGATGAGGGAGAGGTTGGTGGCGAGGGGGGTGGGGGCGGAGCCAGTGCAGATGCCGTACTGCACTATGAATGGGACGCAGTGTCAGTTGGGATATACCGGGTGAGTTGAATAGGGGTGAAGAGTTGAAGGAAGGAAGAGCTGGAATATCAAGTCTGCTGAGTCGATTGAATTGCTGTGATGCATGCATAAAAAAAATTGAGAACCACGGTTACTGTCTTCTTTGCGGCTATTGCATTGCAGTTTATCAAGTACAACGTAAATGACACATTGGCATCACATAGCCTGAAGCTACACACCTGCACAGTGCCACTAGAATTGTAATTCGACGGGAATCGTGTGTGTACAGCTTCAGGTTGATAGATATGCTACCACATTGATCGCTTTTCATCGTAACTATCTATACGTATCTAGATAACCTGAAAAAAAGGATCTACTAAGGAAAAAAAACACGGAAACAAAAAGCTATTGTCAATATTGAACATCTTTAGCACCACACCTTTTGGCGCGCTCGTCAGCCCACACGACACAACTCCATAGTGTTCGTATTCCAGCTTCATCAACACTACATCACTTACAAGCCACATTTCCAGTTCGCGCTCACGTATCAATTAGGTAACGCCACTCAGCTCCACGTGCCGGATGAACCCTCTCCGTGTCCTACTCTGGCTCCCCAATATCCGCGTCAAGAGTTTCACGGGCAGCATCTTGGCTTCACAACAACTGCAGGACTGCAATACCATACGCTTGGCTTATGTAAATTATCTGGCAGAAGACCGAATGTAGCGTTGTTCTAGAAAGATGGCTCCATATCACGGGGCCATTATTAGCCTGATTGCGCCAATCAGACCTTGTACACCACCGATGGCTCCCGTAGTTCCAATCTATCTCTAGATGTGTATATTATCGCACAAGACAGTCCTCGTAAGCACTTGCTCCGTGATTAATTTGGTGTAGCGTGATCGTCATTTGAACTTTCGAGAATACATATGTGCACATTTCACGGTCTCTGGAGACGATGTCGATTTATCAGGAGACTTTACAGTAGTCGAGATTCAACATGCGGTTTGATTTTGTTCAGCTTCTCTTGCTGAGCTCTACTGTCTCAGCCGCAGCTATTGCAAAGAAAGCCCCGAAAGGGTTTGTGACACGTGAAGGCCAAGTATTCAAGCTCGACGGAAAGAACTTCTACTTCGCTGGGAGCAATGCGTACTACTTCCCATTCAACGACGTAAGATCTTCTAAAGAGCCTTAGATGGCTGATCTCCATTAACGCTATTCAGCTCGCTTCCGATGTCGAAAAAGGTCTTGCTGCCGCGAAGAAAGCTGGGCTGAATGTTATGCGCACGTGGGGTTTCAACGATCGCAACCGTACCTCAATTCTTGGTGGTCTTCCAAAATATGGCGGCGAAGGTGCTGGCCCAAGTCCAAATGTTCTACAGCTATGGGACAATGGCAAGTCTGAGATCAACCTCACGCCATTCGACAAGGTAGTCTCAGCTGCCCAGAAAACCGGAGTCAAGCTCCTAGTTGCGCTCACGAACAACTGGGCAGATTATGGCGGCATGGACGTATACACTGTCCAGCTCGGCGGAAAATACCACGACGACGTGAGTTGATCGGTCCGAACCCATGGATGATGTTAATCATTAACCTGCAGTTCTACCGGGATCCCAAGATCAAGGCTGCATATAAGAACTACGTTGGTCAAATGGTCAAGCGGTATGCCAACTCTTCGAGCATCTTCGCCTGGGAGCTTGCGAACGAGCCTCGCTGTGGTGCAGATGCTGTCCGTAATCTTCCTCGCAGCACCGCTTGTACACCCGACACGATCACGGCATGGATTGATGAGATGAGCACATTTGTCAAGTCCATTGATCCCCACCACATGGTCACTTGGGGTGGCGAGGGAGGCTTCAACATCAAGTCCGACGACGGTTTCTACAATGGTTACGACGGCGGGGATTTTGACAAAGAACTGACTCTGAAGAACATCGACTTTGGTGTGTTTCATTCATATCCGGATTGGTGGTCCAAGACAGTTGAATGGACTACACAATGGATCAAAGACCACGCTGCGTCGGCTCGTAAGGCTGGAAAACCTGTTGTGCACGAAGAGTACGGCTGGTTAACCGATGACAAGAGAATAGAGTATACCGGGAAAACTAGCAACCGTACTCGTTCTGAGGTGCTCGGTATCTGGCAAGAGACAAGCTTGAAGGAGAAGATGCCAGATATGTATTGGCAATTTGGGTACGGCGGATATTCGTACGGCAAGAACCACGACGACGGATTCACGATCTTTTTGGAGAATACAGAGGCGCAGAAGCTGGTGTTTGATCACGCAAAGAAGTTGAATGAATTGAACAAATAGAGGGACAAGATTTTCGTTCGTTCGGTGTGGCAGACCTTTATGAGCCAAGGAAAGTATCATAAAAGTATCTACAAAACTTCCCAAGTGTTTATCTTATTCTTTCGATTTATAAATGCGACATACTTTTCTTCTTTCTATACATCCTGGCACAGTATTTTTGCCAGGGCCAGGAGGTCGAAAGTCTCGCTGAACAGCACAGGTCCAGTCTCAGCGAGTGTTGGACAGGCAGCATTGTACACAGTCACAATGACACTCGATACGCACCGAACACAAGATCTCACTGAGCAAATGCATGAATACTAAGACTCGCAGTTCCTGAGTGATTAATTAGAGGCACCAGCTCATAGACTCGCACTGTGCAGGCGTACAGGCACACGCGCCACTTCGTACGGGATAATCGGTCACGATGCCTGGGTGCTTTCACTATACCCCAGTCCAGGCGCTACGCAAACAACGGTGGCTCGTCCTTATCACGACCCTTTGTGCTGACACAAACAGCTCACCACCTGCTGGATCAACCAACATCGCTCACTTCCACCGCAACTCACATCAACCCCTACTCGACGCTGGTCGCCTCTACTCTCCGTACCCCGATCAGCGCCCTCACTTTCCTTGTTAACTACGCATTTTACCTCCTCATCTACATTTCGAACTAACCGATACACCGCGGAACATCATGTGCCAATTCACGCTACAAAAGTACGCAGACTGTGGTCATACCAAGCTCCTAACAGATGCGATCAATACTGTCTTCTGCAAACCAATCGCGAAGCAACTACAACGGTCCTGCTACCAGGGTTTAGACGTGGCGCCTGCATGCTGTCACCCGTTGCCCATACCGCAGGATAACGAGATTGCTGCTGTCCATGAGTTCTTTGGATTCTGCGAGGACTGAACCGCCAGGCCCTACAAGAGGACCTTGATTTCGACACCTACAACCAAGAGGACGAGAACAGGATTGCAAAACTGCGCGATTCAATCGAAGAGAGCGGGAAAAAGGCAGAGAAGATCGCGGAGGACTTCGAGGTGTCGATGAACAATGACATTACTCGACTGAACTTGAACGGGACTCTCCTTGAACCAGGCCGCAAAAAGTACGACGAACTCTTCATGCAAGTGCTCCTGGATTGTAGGACTCGATCAATACACTTGTATGTTATATGCAGCGACGCGTACCTCGACGCATGTTCGAGGATTTAGTGCACTTCATCGAGAAGAAGGCCGCCCGAGCAGCTGGGCGTGCGGGCCAGCTCAGCTCTATCGGCGAATACATCGTTGGAGATGCGGGTAGTGGAGACAGCGAGGAGGCCATCGCGTCTCTCTTTGGAGACATCGCAGAATCGGTGTTCGTCGAGCGACATGGATTCGCACCTCAGCGCGCAGCGGAACACGGCTACCTCAACGAGCGACAAGAGGATGGTGCACATATCATCAGCTGCAGTGAGACAGAGGCCAAGCGACTCGTTGAGATAGAATTGGTCACGTCTCAATACGTTCCGGCCAAGCGAAATAATGCTGGATCCGCGCTCTACGACTTCCCGATGAGACAACGCGACTTCGGTGCGCGCCTGGCTATGTCGAACGCCACATTCGCCAACGACAAGCTGCCGAAAATTATGGGGCAGCGTAACCTCACGGTACTCGTCACGAACGTTCTACTTCCACACGTTGCCGCCGAGGAAGCAGTGCGGGAGGCTATGCACCGGGAGAAGCTCGAGAAGCAGAAGCTCGAAAAAGAGAAGCTTCTTACGGCTTTCATGGAGCAATACTCTCTGTATGAAGAGGTCCCTCTTGACGAAGAAACCGCTACATCACCAGATGAAGGACGGACTTCAGCAGACGCAGATGGCAGCAAACTACCAGCGTCCGAACCAGCGCACAGCATCTGGATCAAGCACGAGAAGTTTGTCGATGTTGATAGGCCTTCTCTGACTTCCAAGGAGGCTATCGCCCTTGCCTTGCGTTGCGAGTATCCACTTGGCGATGACGATGACTGGGAGTGCAACGAAGTCCCGCAAGAGAGCGCTCAGGTACCATCCGAAGAGGCCACCCAGCCGGCCCCGAAGCCGAAACCAGACACTGTTGGTAGGACCTTTACCTGTGACTTTGGTGACGACGACGATGACAGGGAAGATAGAGAGACGTTGGTCGAGTCGAGCGAGGAGGTCGACGCGTCCGCCCCTCCATTCAACAGCGATACGAAGATGGAGGCAGACAAACACATGCCCTCTACGCCCACATGCTCGACGTACGGAACCATCTCGCCACACGTCTCGACACAATCTCCCTCTCCATCACCACAGAGCAGTCTCGGCCCAATCCTGCGCAAGCGCTCCAGCGAGCAGGATCCGCCGCACGACAAATCGCCGTCTCAGAAATCAAGGAAAAACTCGGATGCTTTCAGCGGTGAAGAGATGTGGCTGAAGGACTCGGAATCCAATGCCGATGGCAAGGTCGATGGAGACACCACCGTGGAATCGACACCTGCGACTGAGGACGTTGGGATGCCACAGACTCCCGCTCAAAACGCAGCGAGTCCATCGTCGTACCAGAGCACCCCATCGCCGCCATGGCACATCACTATCGGACCTCGGGCGACTATTGAATTTGGTGCTGCGACGCCTCTTGGGCCGATTGTGCGGAAGCGGCGGAGCGAGGACGATATTTTGGGCGACGAGTCGCCGCTGCAGAAGGCGCGGATGAATTATGAGAGGGAGGGGTAGAATGTGGTGAGACGTGGGGATGGATGGACTGGGGAGGTAGACGTGGAAAGACATACAATATGTTTATGGAGATATACAGGACCACCAACCTAGAAGCAAAAGGGGGGTATCCTTACAAATTTTAAAAAAGCAAAAAATCACACTTGCGTGAACAATTTCGAGAATAAAATGCGTCATTTGAGTCTAAAGTCATGTACTTCGTAACCGATACCGCTATGCAAATGCCGTTCCAAAAACGCCTAGAAATGCATCTCAAACGTAAACACCACTTCACGCCGCGACATCCGCCACCCTAAGCCACCTCTCCTCGAGCGCTAAAACAACCAACTCCTTCACGCTACCCAAACTCTCCTCCCTACCCAGCGCAACTGGACACAAGAGCTCACTAACCCGCTTCAACACGCTGTGCAGCTTCAGGGCCTTCTTCTTGACTTTCGCCGGGTCCTCGTCGCTGTCGACGTTTTCCATGGTGTCTTGGGGTGAGAACTGATCTGGTGTGTTGCCGGAATCGGCGAGGTGGTTGAGCAGTTTGTGCAGCAGGAAATGCGTCCAGACAAGGTTCGTCTTGGGGTGGAAGCGTTTCCAGACGGGCTGGAGTACAGGTTCAGGGACGGTTGTCTTGCGCGGCGATCGGCGCGGTGACTCAGACTCGTCGAAACGAATGTGCGTGTTCTTGCGTGGCGAGCGTCGGGGTGCGAATATATTCTCAGCAGGCGCAGGTTCGTTTTGCAGGGGGTTGTTGTAGAGTGCGACACCGCGCATATATCGGTATATCTCGTACTGATACTCCTCGGATGCATCGCCTTCGAAGATTGCGGGGTCTTTGTCAAGATCAAGCCATGCGACGTCTGGGTCATCGACACTGTGATTCGACGACGGGGAGGTTGGAGTACCGAGGGATAATGAGGACGACCGGCGATCTGAAGATGGCAGAATGTCCGCGCGAGATAGAGTATAGTCGATGACGGTTGTCTCAAGGCCAGAAAACCTAAACTTACGTCGTATCGGGTCCTTCACAGTGGCGTTGGTGACATCGCCTCCAGCTCTTGATGAACGTACACAGATGTTCCCCATGTGTAGATCGCGGTGCTCGAAGTTGCATGTCTCTTCTGCCTTTGCCACACTCAGGCAAACCCCCCAGAAAACATCCCAAACTTCCCACACTGATCCCAGCCCACCATGTTCCATAATTTTCTCACAATCGGTTCCAGCGTCTTGCATCTCTACTATCGCCCAAAGCTGAGTGTCGTCATAGCTGGCCTTCTTACTAGGATCAGGGAACTCGCTCTTCTTGCCGCGTGGTCTTGACTTGTTCCATGCTTTCCACGCATCGGAAAATGCTGTCGATGGTCGTCCTTGCAGAATTGTAAGATCGCGGAAGTTGGTAAAGCCTGGAATCTGGTTCAAGTTCTGGAGAAGCTTAACCTCCGAAAGTACGTCGCCAACCTCAGACTTCCACTGGTCATTCTCTTCGCGCTCAGCCATCTCTTTCTCCACCTGACCTTCACGATCTCTAATCGCTCGCGTCTGGAGTTGACAAGGGAGTGGCGCATCTGGTGGAGTCTTCAGCGCGACAACTTTGAGGACTGACTCCTGGCCTGTCGCATTTGTTGAGCTGCGCGCAGAGAGTCGATAAACTTCCGAAAACGAGGCTTCCGCAATTTTGGTGATCTCAAAGTGTGGTTCAAGCTCGGACGACCAGTCTTCGAAAGGGACTGCTTTCTTTCCGAAGCTGAGTGATAGAAGCGGAGAGACGTATGCAGTGTAGACATCATCTGGTTCTGGTGTTGGCTCAGGCGTGGCAAGTTGTTTTCGGCGCGGCGAAGAAGTCTTGGGTTTCGTTCGCGATCTGGGCTCCCGTCTCCTCGTAGGCGACGAATCGGGAGTGACCGCAGTCCTAGGTGTCTTCTTTTTGTTACTACGGGGTTCTAACATGTGCACGTCTTTGGTCGGCTGGATGTTCGTCGTGCAGCTTTCGAGAGCTATGCGCCGTTTGGGTTTTTGCGTGCGCGGTGCCTCCTTTGGCTGCAGTACCTTGATGTGATCTTCCTCTGCCGAAGCTTTTATTGCCTCCTCTGAACGGTCGTCCTGCGGTTCCTGGTTTTCCTTCGTCTCGATTGCGTCGGGGCCGCATGGTGCTTTTCGTGGCCGGCCCTTCTTCTTTGTCTTGACTTCATCGACTGACTGTGTTTGCTCCAGTCTCAAACCCCCAAGCCCCTTCGCAAGCGCTGCCAATGCATCCTCTTCTGGCGCATCTCCCGCTGCATCTTCCAGCTGTTGCCTCCAATCCTTCTATCAGCGACACCGACTGCATTCTGCCCCGCATCAACCTCTGAA